ATTATTTTTGCTTTAGATAGCCCGTTTATTCAATATGTCTATATATCATCATGGTACTAACCAAGGTTGCGGAACAGTGATATTATATATAGTCTATCTATTTCATACTAACCTTTCAGAACATACTTAGGGACGAACCTGAGCGGAGCGAGGGTGAGCAGCTAGTATAAACATATATGTATTAATAATATATAATCTAGAAAATACGTATATGTTAAGTATTTAAATAAAAATGACATTTTCTTAGTTTATTATGTATATAGGTCGAGGTGTAAATTTAAACTTTTATGCTTCGCAAGTGTTATAGTATTAGGACAATATTTATAAAGTGGTCTTTAGAATGCAGGCGCCGGGCTGAGATATATTTGAGGCCCATTTGTTTATATCTGGAAAAGCGGCGCAGAAGATATTATAAATAAGCATTCCGCACGCAATATAACAATGTAATTCAAAAATTTATACAATTTAATTTTGACTACAGTTCAAGTAAAATGTATTATAACCCGAAGATTGTTAATTACAATAATGTAATAAACAACTATATAGTTGTAAATAATATGCGCAAAATATTTTTGTATCGTTTTGTTGAAAAAAGTATATAATAGAATTAAAGATTTGTTTTAATACATAGATTTGTTTGACGAGAACCAAAGTAAAGGCAACATTCGCCGTGTCTTCCAACATTTTACACAGCACTGTAGGCCTTGGTCTTTATTACTTTTGCAAATCTTAGTGATGATAAACTATATTATATTGAGTGTAGTAGTGTTTTTGTTTAATGATACTTAAACCATAATAAACACAATGCATATTTTATTTTTATTACTTCTTAAGGTAAAGAGATATTGCAAAAAACTCTTGAAGGGATTGATTCAGCATGTATATACATAATTTTAGGAAAATTATGAGCGTAATTTTAATTATATCGCAATGATCATGTTACATTTGATCTAATGCCAAGAAATTGTCCCAACTTGTGCAACATTTCGAGATATTTGAGTTATAAATATTAAAGTGACAATTTCTTAGGAAACCGTATGACACGATACTAAAATATTAAGAATGTTTCTTCACCTTTACCTACATCTCTCATCTTCATGGTCGTGAGAATTTTGGAAAACTTAACTGAACATAAAACTTTGAAATTACGAGTATATTGTTACCGAATTGTTCAGTTTATTTCTGCCGTGTTTGTCACATACCTTACATACGTGGGGATTTTTGATTGGTTAAATTCGAATTGATTATTATCATGAGACCTTATCTTTTGTCTTTCTATAAACAACAACATACATGATACATTCTTATAAAACTTTATTGAGGCGAATCTTGTCAATGATAATGAATGAAAATGTTACCATGTGTTCTACATCTAAAATACTCCATATTTTTCGTAAAATTTTGTATTAAGTATAATAATTGTTTTTGATAAAATCCCAGATTTATGTTTTTATCTGCCATTTAGTATTCAGTAATTTCAACTTTGTAATTATACACCCGTTTAAAGCAGACAAAGCAACTTTGATAGTCCAAATGAAACTAGTCTTAATCAGTAAAACACGTACGTGACCAGTTGACCATTATCTAATAATATTTAAACAAACATATACTCATCCAAATGTGATTGTATTGGCAGACATCCTATCATTTTATTAATAATAAATCTTTAATTTTAATGCGAATTTCTGACTCAATAACTTGTTGTTTTTACATAGATAGTATTCACTCTAGTTTTTGATATTATTGAGGTGTATTATGTTAAAAGTCTCATGGTTTTTTTTATTTACTTTAATTACTGTAATCTGTAACGTTTTCTACTGTTGGCAACTTATCATAAGTTATTATCGGCGTGCAATATAAATATGAATATCTATTTCTGTTCCTTTGGTTGTTGTTATGACGTATCGACGTGGTGGTGTTTTTTGGTTTGCTGGGATAGCAGCAACCGATAGCTTAGGGCGGGGCCTCGCGTCACGCAAATAAATCTCGCAGTGTGGTTCTCTGCGCGGGTTCGCTTCTAATTTGGTGACGCTGCGGCCTCGAATCTTGCGACGCCATACGCTCGTGACTACGTAACATCCATGCAAAAGACATCCATTATATAGATAGGTACGTCATGGGCAACTGTTCAAAGGTGTTAGCGTCAAACAATATTTGTGGGTGCACCGGCTAACGTAATTTGTTGATATAATTTTTCCTATTCATAGTATGCTAAAAACAGTTGATCTAAAAGTGAAAACAAAAATAATAATAGTAATAAAAAATATAAATAAGCCTTTGGTTTGGTATGTCGATTTGTTATTCGTCATAACATTGAATTTTAAGTATTTGTCAGGTGCCCAAGTAACCTCTGATTCAATTAAAATTAAATGTATTGTGTCCTCCAATACCCTTGCGTGGAGACGTGACCACCGCGGGCTTTATTATTCTTTTTGTAATAACTGGTCGGTCACTTACCGGACAGCAGTATGGCAGTGCGAGCCGGTCAGCACTCAGCCCGGTTCCTGACCTGGCTTACGGCCGAACAAACTAGTTCTCGGCTGAATCTTTTAAAACGTACATTGACAATCATGATTGTTCAGTTGACTTCATTGCACTTATACATTGCGATAGTAAAAATTATGCGCTCGCGCAATTTTGCGCTTATCTTGCATCACTTATTTTTCTGTTCTTATTTCCTTTAACTTTTTTAACATCTCTATTTTAGTAATGAATAACGTTGTCTAATTCATTTTTATTTATCTAGTTATAGATTCTGTATAGATACTATATGTAGGTGTTTATGTCTATACGGAGAACTAAGTATAAACTTCGATTTTAAAACTTGTATAATATATTTCGTATTAACAATAAGTAAATTTTATAAAGTTCTACAAATCGTTTTAATAAAGGTTGTCTGTCTGTAGAGATCGCTCGTAGTAATAAGACCGCCTTTGAAATTTAAATGCGTTTTATTATTTTGTTGTAACTTATCTATGTAGGTAGATTCGTTTTTTTCTTAAGGGTGTGCATTGTGTAATAATTTTATCGTTTATCTCTTAGATGCTTATTGAAGATAATTCTGAAAAGTACCTTTACCTTTACTTTTGTATACATAAATGTATTATTAGCTATGTTATTTCGTATTTATAACAGGAATCTGCAAATTTACATTTTGAATTGAATCTATAAGATGAAATACGATATGATTTTTATTATTACATTATATATTTAAAATGTTCTATCAAAGGACTGATTAAGTGATTTTATAGAAAAATAAACTAAGTAAAATATTTGCTTGTTCTCAGAAGTCTTTTTAATGCTATGTGAGATAAAATGTTATCTTTTACAAAATGCACTACCCACTATTTTTTTTATACAGTCGACAAGTTATTATATTTCGTTTCGTTCTATTTAATCTAGTGGAGTAATATGATATTTTTGGTTCACGATACTAGCTACATCATAATACCAGTACTATTTTGTATTGTTTCTTATTAGCAGGTACTTGCTAGCGTTGACACGTCTTAGCCTACGAGTATTAGACAAATATTGAAGTAAGAATTAAATAAGTTATTTGTCCTCGTTCAAGATGGTATATAAACGATGATAGGATGGATTGGCGCCATGTTTTGTTTTACTTGTTTATTCAGACAGAACAATCTAGAATATTTATAAATAGTCATTATTGATATGTTATCACTGAAGTATGAGAAAACTTTTAGAACAAAGGCTTTGTATTATATTACTAAGGGTCTTTTAAAGAGATATACCTCGTACCTACCATTCTAAATTATTCAGTGAAAGATGCAGAGTTAGTAGGAAAGCCATGCAAGTTAAAATCAAAATAATACCGTGAAAAAATTCAAAAAGGTAGTTTTGTTTAAAAGATTTGGTTAAGTTTGTTTTGAATAGCACAATATAATCTTATCACGTACCTAGATAATTCAGGAAAAATGTACATATTATATAGTTCATTGATCTTATAATTTGTTATCATGTAAAATCCAACTATGAGTGATTTGACCTTCCTAACGGAGAGAGGTATATTGTGAACTAGCGACTCACCCTCGCTTATTCGATCGGGGTCGTCCCTAGCTTGATTCCTCATACAAACTTTCATCCCCATTTTCACCCCCTTAAGGGATGAATTCCGGGATAAAAAGTATCCTATATCCTTCCTAGGGTCTCAAACTATCTTCTTACTAAATTTCATCTAAATCGGGTTAGTAGATCCAGAGATTACCCCCTACAACATCACAAACTCACAAACTTTACCTCTTTATAATATTAGTATAGATTATGATAGTATGAAGTGAGAGTTGCACGAGTGTCGAATCCGCAATACGCATTGATCAGGCTCGTGCATGGAGATACGGCATGCTAACCAGCATCTATCTATCAATGTTATGATCTATTTAGAGCTACTGTTAAGGTAGGACGCGGTTGGACACTGGCCCAGAAATTATTAAATAGGTGTATTGGTAAAATAGGTTGTTTACGAAATTCGTATGTAACAAAAAAAAAGTTTATTTAAGTTTTCGTCGTTTTATCTAATATATTTAAACGAGCAATTCTTGTTTAGTTCGTTTTTTTTAAATGTTTTTTCGGCCAAATACTCCGAGCGAAGCTCGCTAGCCCAGGTACTTTATCTTATATATGTACTCGTATATATTTACTTAAAAACATAATCCCTCTTTGTATTTGTTTGCTTACGACTAAATTATTATAATTATAAATATATGGACGTTATTTTTTGTAGCTATACGCAAAGTTTATGGGCTGGAGAGTGACATAGTATTTTTCAACCCATTACTTAATGTAGTGTTTACATAAATATGTAGGAGTTTATTGCAAAAGAAGGTATCTAGTTGTCATTCATAACGCTTACTTTATATGAAGATAATTTAAACAACTAAATACAATATTTGAATATTTAAAACCTAAACCCTTCATTGTCAATATGTCTAAATAAATGTTAATCTAGACGCAGTGGACTTAAAATTGTTTTATTGCTCCAGGTGGACAGCGGCGGCGGTGGCTCGGCCGAAGTAATGGTGTACTCTCTTGGCTGGGGCATGGGGGAGCCGGAGCGGCGCGCGCTGGACCGCAAGCGCGCGCAGCCCGTCGTACACAATCTCTCACCCGATGACGGCCATGAGGTCGACGTGCTACCTCTTAATAACCAGGTAATACACATTGTTATATACCTGGTTATATATTAACATTGACAACAAGTTTGGCTCAGTTTGTAGTGACCCTACTTGCTATGCCAGCGGTCGCGGGTTTGAGTCCCGCTGGGGGCATTCATTTGTGTGATGAGCACGAATGTTTGTACTCCAGTCATGGGTGTTTATATTTATAATATGTATGTATTTAAAGTTATATATGTGTAGTGTATCAACTATCTGGTATTCATAACACAGGCCTCGTAGCTTAACATGGAACTAGATGGTGTTGTGTGCTAATGTCCTAACATATTTATATTTATGTTATTAATAATCTCTAAATAGCCACATAATATAAATAAAGAATTACAGTTCAATGCCTGCTCTACATTATCAGACATTATGGTTGATTACAGGCGATCGTGTGGAGGGTATATTACGAGTGACTCGTGTGTTATCGGCCAATCGTAGGCTATATCATCGTCGGTGATCGTTGTATTGTTGTTTTTTGGCAACACATCAAAAGAAATTCTTTCTTGTATAGACCGTTCTCTCAATTAGTGTCAATAAAACAAAAGGATGCATTGGGATTTCATTTAATCCCTCCACGACCGCGGACACGCCGGTGTTACAGTTAACAATAGATTTCTTAGAAATTTAATTAATTTCTTAGAAATTTACCTGGAGGTGTTAATAAAAAAGGCTAAGAAATAAGATCAGAACATATATAAATAATTCATTAATTACATAAATGCCAGTAGTAGCAACAGATTCAACCTTGAATGCAAGCATTCACGAAAATGTATATATTTATGTAGGCGTTTGCGCGAACGTCGTGCGGATGATGCTCGCACTAAGTTCGTACCGTCACGTTCGTTTTATTATGCGGTTTATCATCATGGCCGATTGTGTAGAACAGGCAACACTCAAAGTGGGTATTGAGTGTTACCTGTTCTACACAATCGGTCACGATGGTAAATTTTATGGTATGGTAAAAAAATATTAAAAAAATTAGATTGAAGTAATAATTATTTGTACTGATGAGAATATTAGTACATTTTTTCTAAGAAGTGTAAATGATTATGTAAAGAAGCAGATTATAAGTATCTACTAAATTTTAATTTATAAGTAGGTACAATATGTTGCAACACAACAAATATTATCACTGAATCACGTGAACGATTTTACATATGTAGAGTGCTTAGCCGGACATTGTGAGTTTAATTTATTACACGGATATAGGCTGTCTTGTTGAACAATGCAATTAAAGTAGTTATTTTATGACTTCACTTTTGGTTTTCAACTACCACTCGTTAATGCTGCTGACTAGCTTCAAATTAACCATAAAAGTCAACTACTGCAACGTCCTGAAATGCTTATAACATGCGCGTACCTGTGGCACTGGGGGCACTAAGTGAAAGGGAACTTATTTAAACCATTCCTTGAACTTGCTCAGTTTAGGTCCTAACGCCACTTCGCTTACTGTAAATCTATTTTTTTTAACTTCATAACATGGTTCTCTTGCGTCAAATTAGGCAAAAATATCCAATAAGATTCTGGAAAGATAGGCTCTCAAAACGATCTAGGCATTAATTAACAAACAGAAAGACATACAGATAAAAATTAAAGGAGTTTTATTTTTACTAATATTTAGATTTGTAACTATAGCTGTAAACATTGTTTACTACATTCGGCAAACTATTTATGAATGTTGTGGTGGCGCCAGTTTTTTTTACAATTTATTGCTTAGCTGTGCAAAATTTTCCTCTGACCTCGGTGTATAGAAAAGTTATGGAAACAGACGTTAACTAAACTCGTCTTGTATCTAAATAAAATTTTCAACGCTTCAATTTCCAGATGGTTAGACTATTTCAGTAAATAACAACTGCTGCTACTAAATATAAATATTTAAGAGTGTATTTTTTCGTCTAATGTACTAAGGAAATTTTACTTATTTACTGCATATACTTTTTAATTTTACATTCATTTGTGTGATGAGCACATTTATTAAAAAAATCTGTTTTCATCGGAAACTTTATAGTAGATAAAAAAGTTATATTGTTTTATTGCTTTGGGTACTTGTTTGGTCGCATACATATTGTAAATCAATGCCACTTAACGTTTTTATTGAAAATGATGTAGATGTTAGTAATTTATGTTTATCGTAACGGTAATGGGAATTTATGACGTTGTTGCCATGCACACAACTCTTTGTTCAGATAACTCTCAAAGAATGAACGCGTAATTGCATAGTCTTCCTAGACGAGTTCTTTGTTCTACAGCCCGTGCACTAATTAGCAATCGCAATGATAATGACGCGCCATTTACATTATGCCATGTTATCTGTATTCTGTACATAGATTTACACCTCCGTAAGAACCACTAGCTTTCCATAGTTAATACGTAACGTTTAATATTCTACTTTGTTGTTTTTTAATAATTCATGTTTTTTAAATTCTTTTAATAATAAAAATGCTAAGATATAACACTAATAATTTACTACACACGGAAGAGTATATATTTTAGTGACGTATTTTCTAAGACAGTTCATGTTATATGGTCGCTATTCCTATCACTAAAATTGTAAGCTCTACATCATATTATTATATTAAATACTAATATGTTAAGAACTCATTACAAATAATACTTCATTCATAACAATTCTTTTTTTACAAATTGCACATTAAATAATTTTCCACAAAGTAATATTGTGGAATTACATCGAAATTTTTTCCAAACGTTTCCTACGTCATTATTTTGTTAGAATTACTATTTATAAAGTTAACAGTTCCTATTTGGTCAATTAATTCTTCTCGTTAACTGGCCTGTACTCTCTAGTCAAATATGAAAATGGCCTATGCTAGTCGTTGCAAAATAGTGTCCATGATAGCTTCCATACATTTAAATAGTTAAATTGGTACGCATTTATCTTTGTTTGTTTGCGTCAATTTACATAAAATAAGATATAAATTGTAAATAATTTGGCAACAATTTCATTTTGTGGAATTTCTTGTAAGATAGGTAGGTACTGATTTCCGTTCAAAATTTCTAAACGCAAATATAATATCGTGTTATGAATGATGAATCTGATAAGGAAATTTTACAAACAGATGTAAATTTTATTGTCAATTGGTGTAATTTTAATCAAATGTATCTCAATTCTACGAAGTGTTTCTTTTTAAAATTTTCGCGATAAATTAATTCTGAAGCATTTACATATCATATTAATAATTTATCTATCCAAGAAGTTAAAAGTATCCGAGACCTGGGTGTTATATTCGATAGTTCTCTTAGTTTCAGGCAACATTTTGATAACATAATAAAAAAAGCTTCAACATTATCAGGTTTTATTAATAGACAACTAAAATTATTTAAGCAACCAAATATCACTATTCTTATATTTAATAAATTAGTTCGAAATTTATTGGAATACTGTAGTACAGCATGGAGCCCATCCTATCAAGTTCACGTAAATAGATTAGAATGTGTCCAAAAAAGATTTTTATATCACGTATCCTACACAGACAACAAATGTCATGAAGTAAATTCTTATATACAAAGACTAAATCATTACAAAGTTATTTCTCTATCTACACGTAGGAAAATACTTGATATATTTTTTTTTGTAAAAGCTAATTCATGGGTATATTGACTCACCTGATCTCTTACAACGACTGAACTTTTGTATACCACGTCCTAGTAGTCGTCTACAAAATCGTAAGACATTCTGTCTTCCCAACGCGAGAACTAATGTAATAAGCCACTCGCCCTTATTCCGCATGTGTTCAGCGTACGATACTATTCGTTTTAAATTAGATATTTTTAATGATACCTCTATAGCCTATTTACGTAAAAAATTAAAGCAAATTGTTTAGTTTAATAGCTGTTGTTAGTAATTCATATATTTTTTAAGATTTTTCTTTATTGTTAGTAGATAAAAGCCGCTCCTCATTGTTACCGTAGGTTAAATCTCGTTTTTTGTAATATTAAGTTTTGTTGTATGCATGCTGTGTCTGCATCTAGAAAAATGCAATCTTGTGCGTTAATTTTGCAAGCTATTCTTATTTTCAACCGACTTCAAAAAGGAGGAGGTTCTCAATTCGACAGTATTTTTTTTTTTAGTGTTTGTTACCTCAGAACTTCGTCATTTATTAACCGATTTGGACAATTTTTGTTTTGTTTGAAAGGGTATACTTCCAGATTGGTCCCATTTAAATTTCAAAAAAAAAAACCACCCCTAAGGGTGGAAAAATAGCTAATAATGAATTTAACCTACTTCTAATTGTCATATTGATAATACAGTGGTTCGGTATTGTAGACCTGATCTGATGGTAAGGCTAGAAGGTGGATAGGTGGAACTCTACAACGATTAATAGTAGATACTTTGAGTTTGGGCTTATTTTGTTTGGTTTGACAAGCCTAACACTTTAGAATTCTTACTTTGTTACTACTGTCTACACTAAAAAGGGAAAAATAAAAACTTTTTAACAAAAAAATAAAAACCGACTTCAAACAAAAGCACTAAAAAGTAAAAAATAACTAATTGGTAGTTTTCATTTACTATACATACCTAATCAAATATTTTCGAAGTCGGTGTGCTTTGCTTTGTATGGGCTGGCACCGATTTCGAAAATATTTGATTAGGTATGTATTTAATAGGTAGGCTTTAATTACTTAGCCAAAGCACACCGACTTCGAAAATATTTGATTAGGTATGTATAGTAAATGAAAACTACCAATTAGTTATTTTTTACTTTTTAGTGCTTTTGTTTGAAGTCGGTTTTTATTTTTTTGTTAAAAAGTTTTTATATATGTATTTGATTGTCATTTGTTTTGTGCACCAATAAACATAAATAAATAAATAAATAATTTAATTTTCATTTAAACTCAAATATTTTTAATTATGGGAAGAGATTTTTAGATTTTAATTATGGGAAATAATTATATTATTACAGGAAATGTACTTTCTCTTAGCGATTATCAAGTAGGATAACAGTTAAAAGTTTTCTCCTATTTGCCTGTAATTTGATAACTGTGAGGTAACGTTACTCGCCTCCAGTTTTACTTCAATACCTCACAACGTTCGTTACCCGAGCACTGACGAAGCCGTTTAAAACTTTTTTTACTGAACAACATCTATGTATCTCGCTTTTGTGTTAAAAGTCTCTTGCAACGGTGTCTTGACGCTCCTTATCTCTAGAGTCGTTCGGGTGAAACCATTGTATTCTTGAAATACTTGTTTTTATTCTTTTTCTTTTTATGAATTTGCAAACGCCAAACAATGATGTAATATTCATTTAAAAATATTTATTTTAGAGTAGGTACGTTTTCCATTCTGCATTAGGTATTAATGCTTAATGGGCCTAATAATGTGTTACGTAATATATGTAGTGTTAGGAAACTAAAAGACAAGATGGTTTGATTTGTTTTAGTTATTTTTTTAATAAAAAAGAAAAAATAACTCTTGCAATTAATTGCTGAAGTTACGTTATATTAGACGGCATTAAGCAGGGTTTTATTCTGTGAGCTTTGATAAATTATACACAATGTTTATAATATCTGGAATGATCTATTAGAATCTGAAATATAATATATAAAATGTGTGTAGAATGTACGTAATGAAATTAATTAATGGGAAATATTGTATCAGGTGGGCGGACACACGAGACTGCTGGTTTTGAACGACAGCACAGTAATCAAGCCCCTGAATATACGCGAGCTGCATTTCTACCAGAACATCCCGGAAGATATCCAGAGTTTCGTACCCAGATACAAAGGTGAGCATTGAAATATTTTTAATTTGGAGATTAAGCGTTTGCTCGGTACGCTTTTATTATTTCGCTGAATGCATCATTATCATTCATTGAATTAAATATATTAATTTTTATTTTATCATTTTTATTCGATGTTTCGTTTTTATTTAGTCTTCAAATAATTGTTTGTTGTTTATGCATTTTCGAGCACTAAGGAAGTTATCGCTTTATTTTGGTTTTTACGTATGACGCTGTTAAGTATTTATTATTTGAATGTTATCAGAATAGATTCTCTGTGTATTTTATCGACTCATTAATTATTATTATTATTTGCGTCACAGAAAAATAAATAACGGCGCAATAGCGCCGCTACATTTTTATCAAAGTCACTCGACAGTGTGTCGAAGCGTAAAAAGCGTGTATGAGGGGATAATGTAATTAATATATTATTGGATTTAACTCTCCTTACTGCTCACTTGAATTGAATCGTAATCATCATTTCAAACTGAGCTGTGCGTATGAGAGGGATGTTTGAATGACGATGTACAAACCCGCCGTCCGCAAACATTACTTTTATCAATAAAACTTTACTGTAAATTATTATATCTTAAGTATATAATAATATATACGTTGCCGTCAAAGTACCTAACTGCTAACTGTTACGCGTCAAAACACATGGAATTCTCGTCTTCCGTGCGTTTTGACGTCAATAATTTTATTTAAATAGTAGGGTAATCTGTATTTGAATATGTAATATATTATAAAATATTTCATGTAAATCTAATCTTATTCAGTAAAAGCCTTTTATCACTTTTGCTAAATTAGAGAGTAGAAAAATATGTAAATAAATTTAATGAAACATAGTAAACAAATATAAGTAATTAGTTCGTATATAATAAATAATAATATTATCAAACAAAGGAAATAAACATTTTAATATAAAATTGCTGATTTGTTTCAGTACATTTATAGTACCGCTTATCCTATATAGCTATACCGATACGGAGCGAGCTATATCAACTTGTTATTTTTAAATATTTAAATGTTAATTTGATTAGATTCTTTATAAATCAATTGAAAAATAAATAACAGATACTAAATTGACGTCAGTACATTACATTGTGTGACACATTTGTTTAAACTTAAATTAAAATCAAGCAGATAGAACCATTCTGTATAATCAATTTAAAAGAAAAATTGTTTGAAATGAAAAGACCTAAGTCTATTAAAATACCGAAATTAAAGGTGTTTGAAGTAGAGTGGCGTACATTTATTAGGGTCGAGCCGAGTGCTCGCGGGCGGGCGGCTGGCGGGTTTGAGTGAAAGTGGGAGCGGGAGCGGGTCAGGGGTCAGGAACACAATATTAGTTTCCTTGTTGTCGCAAGGGTTGCGGCGCGGCGGCGGGCGGAGCGACGCCGGCGGGCTCTCCACACAACCGCCCCTAATAGCGCCCTAGCGGTAATTTTACATTATGGGTTTGTAAACCTTTACTTAAACCTACATCCACAACACTCACACTATTCACGACAACACGCACAATGACACTATACCACGCGCACACGCTACATTCTGACATCAAAAACACGCGCACACACTCCGTACAATTACACATAACAAAAGATATACAAACCCTTTTTAAAATTACGTAAATTATATATTTTCACTCTCCGTTATTACTAACGCTGGAATAAGCACAATAGTAAGTAAATATACAAATTTTACAGAGTAGATACTAGAATTCATGTATCGTTAACGATATCACCCTATAAGATCTATCATCGACCACGTTGAACTTTTTTTGTTTGTAAAACTTAACGTAACTTTATAGCATTACCATGTTAAATATCTTATAGTATTTAAATGGTTATCTAAAGGAACAGGGCATATACTCGTACATAGTGTCTGCGTACGGATAGCAGCAAGCAATGATGTGTGGGCCGTTTGTTTCAGGCGTGATGCAGGCCTCGCATACGGGAGGCACGAAATTGGACAAGCGGTACTCGCCATGTTTCCGCGACGAGAACGGGCGCAAGCAGTCGCTGAGCGGGAAGCGCAAGCGCGACGACGTATTCAAGTGCGTATCCGAGCGCGGCGCTCGCACACTCCGTACCGTACACTCCTCGACACTTGTCATGTGTCCTTTATCATATTTCAGAAACTATGACGTACGCCGGTCCGGCTCCCGACGTCGCCATTAATTCATATCATCGCAATACTTACATGACTATCCCACTAACGTGAGCGATGCACGATCCACATTCCACACGGCGAGCCTCCGAATGTGACTTGCGTCGTGGAGTCGTGGTAATTCATACAGTTTGATTGCAATGTAACAATATAACAGATAACGCCAACTCTTGTGTTTCAATTAGCTCCTTATCGACGTAGCTTGTGCCTGTCGGCAGCCTTACTTTACTCTACCCTTTCCTGTTACAGGTTTAAAGTTCACCGAAATGGCAATGCAAGCGAAGTACTTAAGAGCATTGCGCACATGGATAATTCCAACAAGCAATGTAAGTGTTTTTAAATTATAATATTTAAAAAGTCTCGCAAATGTAGAATACTTTATGCTCATAGTATCTATATAAATTGCATATCATCGTATAATAATTATATATTACTAGAAACTTGCTTCTGTCCTCGCTCGGGTCGAGCGTGAAGAATACACACACACATACACACATATATAAACTCTCAAATTTACAACAGTAGTCCAATTAATTGCGTCAGATTTCCTGATGATGGAGAACATAACGTCGTCGTACCGGCGGCCGTGCGTGCTGGACCTCAAGATGGGCACGCGGCAGCACGGCGACGACGCCAGCGCGGAGAAGCGCACCAAACAGATAGCCAAGTGCGCCGCCAGCACCTCCGCCACGCTCGGCGTGCGCCTCTGCGGCATGCAGGTACTTATTGCTAAACGTTTCGTCTCAGTCGAAACCCGTCCACTGCTGGACGTAGGTCTAACCTAATGATTTCTACGACTGCCGGTCTTGTGCTATTCGCATCCAGTGTTCCAAGCTACTTTGAACAAATCGTCGGCCCATCTGGAAGGTCTGCACACGCAACACCTATTGTCCCCAACGACCGTATCCGTCCTGCGAGCGATGTGCTCACTGCCACTTGTCCATTCGATCTCGGCAGGGAGGAGATATATATGTTGAAATTACCGTCGTTGTGTTTAAAATGACATATTTAAAAGTTGTTTTTTGTTATAGTAACTTAAAATTTAGTATCACACAACCTATATGGTTAATTATCATAAAAATATCGAATAATTCAATAAAGCAAAATGTTCTCCATATACTTTGCCTACATTACTGAAACTTAATTGAAATTGTTTATATGAAAACGGGGCATCTGGAATTGTGTTATGTGAACACAATTTTCATTGGTGTGTTTAGTAAAATGTGGAGAGAGCGGGCCCGCGGTTATGACATTATTAGATGATCGTCGGCTATTGAACGTTCACGCGGCCTTCAATTATTGTACACTTTCCATCATATTGGTAGAAAGTGTACCTGCTATTAATCTGCGCTAATGATTCATGCCGCCTATACTATGCATTTGGTTAAGTAACAGTAAAATTAAATGCAATTTAACTTTATTCGTTTACACTTTTACGAACACTTTTGAATCGTCATCTTGTCGTAAAGATAGTACAGTGCGACTGACTTGAGATCACTTGGTTGGATACGTATCGTTATAAAAAACAAAAGCAGCTGCTATTTTGCTTGCGTTTGTTTGTGCATAACTTTGGGCTTAAACTGCTTCGCTGCCCATTTAAAAACGGACACATGAGGGCAAAGTGCATATCTTTATTTAAACATCCGGTGTTTGTGCATTCGCCCACATATCTGGCGCTTGCTTTATTTATGTCTTCACTCATTTATTTGTTTACAAATATAATTGTTTGAAAATTGATCCAAGAGCATTGTAAATTGTAGAAAATAATTAGGGCTCGATAGCGTCCGGAAATCTAACCGAGCGTGAAGCTAAGAGAACTACTCTTAACCACCGAAAAAAGAAAATGTCCTAAGTTAAGAGTTGTCTTACTTAGACAACATTTTTGTGTATGAGAAAATAATGTAATGTGTCGCGATGGTGCAGGTGTACGTGCCGGAGACGGGCGCGTGCGTGCGACGGGACAAGTACTGGGGGCGCGCGCTGTCGGAGGGCGGGCTGCGCGGGGCGCTGCGGGACTTCTTCGCGGCGGGCGCGAGCGGCGTGCGCGCGCGCGTCGTGCGCCGCGTGCTACGCGACCTCGACAGTCTGCGCCGTGCCATCGCTAAGCAGACCAGCTACCGGTTCTATTCATGGTGAGACAAATCTATACTGTATTCACCGAATGAATCAAGCACTGAGATTTTGCGCTTCGACGTGATTAATTGCAGATGAGACGCTTAGGGCCCGATTACAATGCAAGTCATAATTAGTCCGTCGTTGCATTCCGTACCGTTCAAACGTCTCTAGTATAGTTACCTGATTTATTAGTAATGTAGGAGATGACGGTGATACGTCGGAAAGCGAAAATTAATAAATAATGTAAAATAAACATTTAAAATTTATTACAAATTATTAATAATTACTCACTAAAGCATTTGCAACATGGACAAGCCCTATGAGTTCAAACCAGTTGCAAGTGTTAGTGGGCGGAGCTAGACAGTTTTCTGTCCTTATCAGTTTGTATGCAAATGTGGGACAGAGAAAGCGCTTTGCATGGTTCACTCCGTGAATAGAGTATAGCACAGTATACAGTAAGCATTTGGTTTTATAAGAAATGCTGTGAAAAGCCAGGGTTAGCAAAACTAACAATTTTTATGGTGAACTGAATTGGAAGTAAAAGTATTGTGGTGACATCTCGTGGTTAGTTACAGTTATACTCTTCAACCGTAGAGTTATTTCCCAACTTTTATACAAATTTTAGCGACTCACCTTCGCTTTGTTCGGGCTCGTCCCTGTTGCTTCCCCATACAAACTTTCATCTCCATTTTCACCCCTTAAGGAATGATTTCTGGGATGAAAACAATCCTATGTCCTTCTCAAGGTCTCAAACTATCTTTTTACCAAATTTCATCTAAATCGGTACAGTAGTTCGGAGCCTATTCGGTACAAACAAACAAAAAAATCTTTCCTCTTTATAATATAAGTATAGATAAGTGTGACGGTTGGGTGTATGATCGCCCTTTCTTTGACGCCTTCGTTGATGTGGATTAGTAGACTAGTGTTGTGCTGCGACCGACATTGGTCATGGACCACTTTATCCTAAATATTTTTGGGATTTTTAAAAACAAATTATTAGGATAAACATTCTTAAAGTTACTAGTCTATCTTTAGAACTAAAATAGCTTTTTCTTGATAATTCTAGCTACACATGAAATTAAACAACTACTAAAATTCGCTTATTAGTAGTAGTACAACTAGAATTCCATTTTATATATTATTGTTGCAAAATAATATTCAAACCATGTTATTTGAATTGTTGCAGTTCGTTGCTTATAGTGTACGAAGGCGACATCGAGAGCACGCTCCCGCAGGACGAGGCGAGCGGTTGCGCGTCGGAGTACGAGGGCGACGCGTCCGGCTCCTCCGAGTCCGCGCCTTCGCTCGGACACTTCGACATGTCCACCCTACACGACGAGATATCCGGCGACGCGCGCGAGCCCTTCGTGCCGCACTCAGAGGAGACCATGGGAGGTTACGAGGAGGGCGAGGGCGAGAGCTCTCGGCCCGGTAGCTCGCCGCGACACCCGCCCAGCCCCGACTCAGCGGACAGTTGGATGGCATACTCGTCGGCGAGTAGCGAGTCGTGGCGGCACGAGGCCGAGCCGTCTCCGGTGACCGAGGCGGAGAGCAAGCGCGCGCGCACGCGGCCCGCCGCTCCCGAGGAGCGCGTGGACATCCGCATGATCGACTTTGCGCACACGGCGTTCGCGGGCGCCGCGGCGGAGTCCCCACTCGCCACGGCCACGCCGCACCACGGGCCTGACTGCGGCTTCCTCACCGGCGTGGACTCCCTCAAACGCCTGCTCACCGAGATCCTCCACCCGCAGCCCTACAGTTAATGAGCGCACGACTCCGTCCCGAGCGGGCGCTCTTTAGATAAACCACAACTACTCTACTCGGCCGCGTCGCGGTCGGAGATAACAAAAATATTTTCGTGAGAAACTATTTTCCTTAAAATTTGAAAATGTTCGACTGATATCCTATTGAAATTAGATAATTTGTATCCCGCCGGCGACGAGCGCGTCCGCGCACTTAGTGAATGTTGGCGATACAAAAACATGTTATTTTTATGAGAACGATAAATTTTATTATTATAATTTGAAGGGACCCAGTAGTTAATCTAAAGTGTATTTTTAAGTATTACTATTATGTTATTCCAAATTGACGTGCTTTCGTTTTGATCCCTCGATTGATTGTATGATGGACCGTTCTATGGAATAGTTTAGCCCAAAGTTGATTAGACATTCCCTTTCGTTGTCTAGCGACGCAAGTATCGTTGCTAATAAATAATTGTGTAACCCCTTAAGCTGAGCGATGAATGATATAATTTGCCCGTTGTTTTGCATTTAGATCCTATGTTTACGCATTCCTATAACTTAAAAAGTTACAAATGAAACCTAGTAACAATACCATAAAATAGTAAATGTTAGGATACACAAATGTGCCCCATTAAAATATTGCAAATATAAAACTATAATGTCTTCTAAATTTAAATGGCGAATATCTATCCTATGTATACTTTTGACTTGCACTATTGTGGGAAAATAAAAAGTATAATTTTATTTATAAATAGATATGGAAAAATTTGATTAATATTTTTTTATATATATAATATGTATTATATGCAGCTGTATAATATAGAATATGATTTGTAATGTAAAAAAGAACAGTATTATTAGAGTTTGGAAAGAAAATTAAATGTTTCGTTTTGACTCCAGTTGATATTGGCATAGGTGCTAGTAAGTATTTTACACTGCCAAAGTGAATGAGTGACATGGACACTTGGACAAGTGTGTAGCGTTTAAGGGTCGAGGCATAGACGTAGAGACCTAGGCTGCACAATCTATAAAAGAACTACCGCCTGAGCAGTGTATATAATATATTATAAAATAGACTTATTGTGTCGGTGCTAGCGGTTGTTCAGTCCGGGTGTCCTCGTTTATGTTCAGTGTAAAGTGTAAACAGATGGAGCGCACACGAGTCAGTGAATGTGATTGACCTCTAGCGTTAGCCAACATTCCTTCGTGCTGCATTCGTGGTTGTTTGTTTTTTACTTTTAATTTTGGGATAAATTTATAAAAAGTACCTGGTTTATTTAGGATGCTAGGCTGTATTATAAATTATCATTATGTTTGTTATTTTAAATAACTGTATGACACTATTTTGTTAAATAAATTTTAGGTATTAAATTTCTTTTGTTTCATTTATTTTAAGCACTATCTAATATATAATAATGTAATAAAATATTTTGATCGTAATTGGTTATTTTAATATCAAATCCTTTTATAGCTCTAGTTTAAAATTATCTAAATAGCGATCTTTAGAAATGTAAGTTTAAAAGTTATTGTTAAATATGTTGATAAAAAATATAGCAATAAAATAACAATAATGTCAAGTCTAGCAATCCATCTCGAATTCAACATCCAAAGTAATAATTACATTACACGAAGGTTTATACTTATAATATATTGATTAAACGCAAAAATATTTTTAAACTAATTGGTCGTTTCTTGCAACATTCATGCTTAATACCTTTTTCATGTGTTAAAACAACTAAAGGCTGTATGTTATAAATCATTTGCCGATTATAAAAAAACGTAATTTGCCTTCGCCATGTTTTTTTTTCATTCATATTTTTACCGCCAATTAATGTAATCTTGCTATTAATTTACTAAAAAAATATTGTATTAAACTCAAAATGACGGAATCAAACGACGTTCACGCACTAGAAATGATATCCACTGAAGTTGATGAATCGCAATTAAAAATTATATTGTCAATCCAATGTATAAAAGGTAGTTCTATAATTTTTATTAAAAACCTATCTTTATATATATAATTTTTCTGTGAGTGTGTATGTCACTGAACTTCTCTCAAACGACTGGACCGATTTTGATGAAATTTTTTGTGTGTGTTCAAGGAGACCTGGGAATGGTTTAGATTCACAATTTGAATAATAATTTCATCAAAAAAATTATTAAAAAAAGTTTGAAATTTTCAAATTAAAGACAGGACAACGTCTGTCGGGTCCGCTAGTAAATGTATATATATTTATTATTTATTAGAGTAATTCCATTATAATTCATAATTATATCTATTACTGATTTTTTTTTACGTGTAGCACAAAGTTTTTTAGTTAACAAACTAAAAAAACAATCGGAGCAACAGAAGCAAATCTGTAATTTTATAAACAATGGTAATATGAAATTAGAAACCGAGATTAAATTAGCTGAACAAGAAGTCAAAAGGTGCATCTTCAGTTTTTATTTATATTCTTAGGTTAATTATATACCTACCTACTTTTTGTGAAAGAATAAAATTTTATAACGTAGTTTATATTACTTTTAGTTTACTCATCGCCCTTGAAACTATCAACTTAGGAAATGTGGAGTTACAAAAAGAAATATTGTTAGCTAAGGAGAGAAACATCGCCACGTCTGAAAGAGTTAACAACGGTATTAATAAATATGAACAACTTTGGTTAACATCTAAAAAACGATACGAAAGTATTCCATTCATTCAAAAGTGTCTTCAAATTATTAATAAAAAAGATACATTACAAGACAATATAAATAAATTGATTAAAGAAAAACAAAAATTACTTCACGATGTAGTTATAAAGCAACGAGATTTGTTGAATTTAGATAGAAAAAATATAATAGAAATGGCGAAGTATATGGTTCATGAAAGACCACTTACGCTAAAACAAATAAAGAATAAACAAAATGAAGTTAGTGAATTGCTAAAAGAAATTAAAGTTTTATCAAATCCTAATGAAAATATAAACTTATTAAAAACAGACTTGAAAATTGATTCAAACGCCGCTTCTAAAATTTTAAACCCTCCTATAGAAGATAATTGGCTTAATATATCTGAGAATGGTGATAATGAAGTAATAACGGTAGGCTGAATAGAAAATAATAAATAAATATATAAAATTAGTTATAATGTAATAATTAAAATACATCTGAATGAAAAGAAACTAATTTTTTTTTAGTTGCCAAAACTGCAGCTGCGAAATATTGATTTGGATATTTTCAGTCACAAATTGGATAAGGTACCTACTTGAATTCCCAAATACTTTGTAATAACTAATAACAAACACTATGTAATGAGTAACAACAACTATTATTTAAAGATATTTATTAGATATTATTTCGAAACGCGAAATATTTTCCTCTTGACCGATTTCAAACGCGTCGATATTATAGTGCAGTGCGTGTGCCTTTGTACTTTGTATGCGCGCATTTAAATGCACACTTTATTTGTAATATTCTTTAAGCTTCGTAAGGCACGATAAGGCATAGGACCGACAGCTTTATGTGCTCACTGTGACACAAGGGGCGACACTGGCAATTTTCCAACGCAGGGCTGTTATTGAGAATTTCTTGACAGAAAAATCCATCCATTCAATATCATTAAATATATAATTCGATAATCGACCCACCCACCCATCCATTGGCCCACCCGGGGCTCGAACTAATAACCTCCGGATCTGCAGCTATTCATACTAGCCACTACACCAACGAGGAGTTACAATTGACTAAAACACAACAATACTTGTTTAATATTTAAGTAGGTACATTCTTTGCAGTCGTTTTCTTTTTGTTTATATGATTTTTAGTAAATTTTAATTATTGTTTTTTTCAATAGATAAAGAAAGTTGATTATCAAAAACTATCTATAAAGAGAGTAGACTCGGAGCCTTTAGTTGATCAAACTAAGAGAATTAAAACGGATGAAATTGTTAAAGATCTTTACATTTCGACGTATTTTCAAAAACGCGAAGATTCTGTTGATTTAAAATCAAATTATTCGGACAAGAAATTGATTCATGTATTGGAAGATATAAAATTAGATAAAGCTGAAGCTTTGGAGATTGTTTCTAAAGTGAAGTGCAGTGTGCTTCAAAACGTTGAGACTATAGAAGCTGCACAAAGAGAGAAAATCAATTCATCTCAGGAAACAGTTGTAATCACTTATATTTTTTTATTATTTACATAAAGTGTATTTATTCACATAGTATTTTTTTTAGTTTACTAAGTAAATCTATACATATAATAAAATTGTAACTAAGCATTAAATATTTTATAACTTTTTTTATAACATTAAATATTTTTTGGAAAATCTTATTGAAATAGACATTATTACCGATTGAGAGGCCTAATCTAGAGTTTTTAGAAATGTCTGTCTGTCTATCTGTTACCGCATCACGGAAAAACCACAAGAGGGATTTTGATGAAATTTGGTATGATGATAGCTGGTTGTCCGGGTCAACATATACGATAATTTTTACTGCAGGAAAATGTCTCATCTCTGAGAAATCTGTACTTAACGTTAAAACGTAAGCAGGGATGAACCCGAGCGAAGCGAGGGCGAGTCTTTTGTTAGATATAATAGTATTAATGAGTGGCACCCAACGTGGGTCTTACTTGCGTTAAATGTTTCAGAACAATAAGTCGGTAGATAATATGGAAGAAATCGTAGAAATAGACTTGACCAACAAGGAATCCTTAGATGTATTGATGCCGCCCACACAATTTCTGGATCTAACTCAGGTCAAGAAGATACTCTTTTATGTAACAACTAATATGTTGTAGCAATATGATGTGAAAGTTTTTATATAAATAATGATTTCATTCATATTATTTATTTTAGGAAGAATTTATTAAAAGTTCCCAAGGCCAAGTGGAAACAGAAAAGAACAATACTAAGGAAACTACCAACAACAAAAGTGTATGATTCTTACATAATTAATGATTTATCTTTAATTCCAATTGAATATTTACATTTTATTTACAGTGTTCTCAAGAGAAGAGAGTCACCTTCACCGGAATCGTGTCTGTTACAAATTCTGAAACAATCGACTTACAAAAGTCTCCTGAAAGTGTAAACCAGCTAGACATTAGTACGACTAGTGATGATAGTTACAAAAAAATTAAAGAAATCATATTCAAAAAACACAATTTGGATTTATCACCGGAATTTACATATTCTAAGATTCCTGCCACATCAATGGTACATTATTTTAATATAAGTAATAAATAAAAAAATTAAGCTATTTCTTTATGGAAAATTCCATAAAAAATATACTTTTCCAGAGACCTGAAACTAATGCTGTTACTTCAAAATTTTTTGATACAAAAATAAATAATGACGAAAATAAAGTTGAATTGATGGAAGTGGATAACAGCCCGACTGGCGAAATCGAAAGCAATCAATGTGTGGAAGATAAAATAAATGAAAATGTAGTTTCTGAAAGTAACGAAGAGGTTAAGTGTAGATCAATCATTCATAAAACACATAATAACTTGAATTTTATGGGTTTTGAATATACAAACGATTACATAAACTTAGTTTTAGTGGTAAACTATTTACCACTTAGGGGCCACTTACCTAACTTCACTATGGTGAAGTTTCAGACTTCCAAATCTGTCCAGCCATTTAAGTGTGAAGGAGTAATAAGCTTCCATACATACATACATCCATACAAACTTACACATACTTTCATATGAACTTTTGAAATTTATAATAGTAATCCAAAAATCCATACATATTCATAGACAAAAAACATTCTCATAGAATGAGCTCTTATTTGGACATTTAAGCGCGCTTTTAATATTTTTTTTTGTGAAAACAACTTTAAGCATTGCCTTTAAGGTTCAATTTACATTATTGTAAATTTATTTCAACCAGAATAATTACCTAAACACAATTGGTGACAGTTTTAAGAGAACTTTTGCAAAGGATTGTGAATCTAATACTTGTTTGATCGATGTAGTAATTCAAATATATTGGTAGAAAATACTTTTGTTTTAGACCAAGAATGATCCACAAAAGGGAACAGTGGCAGGATTTCTATTTGCTCATGGTCCACAAGGAATTCCAGATTCCTTAAATGTGTCTGTGAGCACATTGGATTATGAAGATGCCGATTGTGCTCCTTGTATTGGTAAGCCAACATTATTGATTAGTTTTCTTTTAAGATACACTGAAATATTCTTCAAGTGGCACACTTTTTTAAGATTAGGAAAAACATCTGTATCCTAGTTGTTTTAATTTTTTTGAACGGAACCCTAATTCTTTTTCTAAAATAAAAGTAGACTAAATTACTTCTTATAACAGTCCAGGCTAGTCTGATTTTAGAGTTTTAAGGGGACTTTCACTGGCAGATAACTGATTTTATAAGAAGTAATTTAGTCTACTTTTATTTTAGAAAAAGAATATTTTTAAAGCAAGCTAAGTATCATTAATTTGATATGCATTTAGTAAAAAGCTGTTATTTTGACATAAGAAACACTTCAATTTTATTTATATGTATAGATATAATTTATTTGAGAATGAATACAGAAGTAAGCTAAATTTCATAAAACAATAGATGTTATATTATAATCTTCTTACAACAGACTCAAACCTTCTTTTGTCACCAAAAGCTGATGAACAAATGCCAACAACTAGTGAAAATATAAAAGTGCTTTCACAAGAAGTTCCTAATTTCTTGTCAGGTAACTTTTTAAATTTTAATAACCTACTTATATAATGTGTTTTTTATGTTATTCTTAAATTTTTTATACAGGTTTAAGGAGGACTGGCTTGTCATTCTTTGGAAATACATTATCAGAAGATAAATCTTCAACTTCAACTCAGAATCAAAATTGTAATTTTACATTTTCTTTTGGTGGAGATGATAAAATGACCAGAGGTGGTCTATTTAGTATGTTTCGCTAAAGTATGTTTTAAATGATTTTTAAAATACCTTTGTCCTCTTTGATTTATAATAATTTGATAATTTTGATTAAATATCTAATAAGAAAAACAATTTGTTTCAATTAATAATTTTATTTAGACTCAACTTTTTTATTGATGTAACTGGCATGCTCTTACAGCTATTAATTGCAATAAAATGAATAAAGGTGCGAACACTTCACTGTACTCAATAGCTGAGTCACCCTGAAGCTTTCGACACAGTAAGAATTTGAATACAAATGTTAAGCCTAAAAATATACAACTCCAAGAAGCTCTATGTATTGAAGCTTTGTATGAATGTTCTAAAGTCATCCTAATACATACTATACAACAAAAGTATGCATTCATTGCATCACTTACAAACAAAGGTGCAAATATTGTCCACCAAGCACTATTCACTAAACCATCAATCTTGAGAGCTAATAGTGCTGTAAATATTGTTATAGTTATTAAGTTTATCCATATCTCAAACACTGTTAGTCCTAACCACATAACAATTTCATTCAGTGTAAAAAACATTTTTACTGGTTGGCACTAAGCAATGCCGTCCTGAATATTCGGATATGAATAGATGATGAGTGCCTAACCTGCGCGCCGAAATCTACATCATCTGTCAGCGGCTCCAGGTCATCTGTCAAAATATTTTTCTCTTAGAAAAGTCATATTTACGTAAATTATACATATATACTTATATAAACAGATAATAACTGAACATTAACTTACCGACCAAATCCACAGTCCCAGTATTCACTTCAATTTGACAAGTTCCAGCAAATAATATCTCAAGTTGCAGAGCAAGGTTGCAACATCTTTGTATTGCAGCCCCTAGTCCATGTAGAATGATTTCCTTTTCGCCTCTAGCAAGGAGATCGCAACATTTATCAAGTTGTGCCTGTAAGAGAGAGGAATCATAACGACTTCAACTCAAAGCACTCTTCACGTTGATTTTATAGTACGTTTACCTTAAAATGTGTTCTCTTGGTTACATAAATTACATTATCACCGTCAACCGGCCTCGCTGGCAATCGCTTTTTAAGGGCATACTTTTTATTCGGTACACGTTTTGTATTTTTCTGATCTTGTTTCTTTTTCACAATGTTTTCATCTCCCATAGTAACTTCGTAAATTTTACGTATTGACCTGACACCTGTTGTCGGTGTTGACAGCTATGTATTAAGTGTTACCCAGTCTTATCATCTTAAGATAGATAAGCTATTAAAAAAAAATAGATGGATGAATAGGTATTAAAATCTAAATAAAAAATAATGCATCTGTAAGGCAAAACTAATATTTCTGATAATAATTATAAGTAATATTTTATAATCAGCTGCTCTAGATTTTTTTTACGACATGATGTATGATATATGATGTGAGTACTTTATTTGATTAAAATTTAAAATGTGTTAACGATATTAGAGAAATCATTAAGGGTGCGACCACTTAGTTTAAGTCACCAATAATGATAAATATGTTGAGAAATTATAGCACATAGCACCATCTACTTCCATGGTAAACTACGAGGCTTGTGTTATGGATACCAGATAGTTGATACATTAGTTATATTTTTTTGGAGGCAGCCAGGGATGCAAAGAAATGCAATTTAAATAAAAATTAATTTATTAACTAATAATTTCTTACTACTAAAGTGACTATCGATCGATGTTAGATCAAATCAGTGAAGATGCAGCCAAGTAATGCCTTTTATACTACAATATTATAGGAAGTTGTGACAATGGCATTGATGAAATGTAGGTGGCTGCTGCGCTTGCACTTGCGCCTGACCTTGTCTTGTCGTCGCCGTGCGAGGTTTGTAGAGCAAAGCTGATGCGACGATTCGAGTTCCGTAACACCTCCCCCCGTAGAACAGCGACTATTGCAGGACAGGGGGTCCAAGATGGTCGCTGTTGGAGCTGATGGTCGGTGATCGGCCCTCTTATTTGTGGTTTCAGGGCCATTGCTGTGATTTTCAGATTACTGTAATTTTGGTTTCATCTCCTTAGCGTAGCTGGCGGTACAGAAGCGTAGCGATTAGTCATGTGGTCGTTTGAGTTGATAGTATATGTAAGTTGGTGGCATTTCAGTGGGATGACTGCTGTAGAGAGAGATATTGTTCGTATTCTAGGTCTATAAATCCATGCAGGTTTTGACTTGCAGAGAGATAATCAATTTCTTCGGACATTCTGTCTCTATATACCTATAATCTTAGCTAGAGAGTGCTAAAGGGTAAGGTAAGGGCACAGATCATATAAGGTAAGGATGAAATGTAGGTACATAGATTCTTTAGGGGATTTAGAAGTCAAAGGGCAAAATATATTTATATAACCATAGCTAGAATATATTTATATAACCATTACTAACTGCTAGTCTAGTTTCAAAATGACAAAATTTTATATATAGGATTTCATTAGCTATTTATCTACATATGATAAGAAAGAATTTTGAAAGATATATAATAAATTAGACTGACATTATTTTTTAATGCTAATTCTAATTTTGATTCATATCGTGCTTAGTAAGACAATTTTAAATGTGGATATGTAATCTAGGATACTGGGTTTTCTTTTAAATATATATATTAGGATCTAGACCGTCAATGAGACTCTTATTACGTGCAGAATTATTATATACTAAAGAGATGTTCTATGTGATGTGATTATCTTTTATTATTTAATAAGGGTGGATTCATAGGAATTCTATTAACTTGAGGTTTAACTACTGGACCGCGATTTTTTTTGGAAATTTTGAAAAATAAAAGAACACACAAAAAATTATAATAAATCAATAATTTCTATTTTCTAAAATATTTCCTAATTCCTATTCGCATCGATTTGCGATATTCTAATAATAGGAAAAAGGGAAATTCAGTAAAGGATACTTATAGATAGTAGAGGTAAGCCACTCTAGTAAGATCTAGGTACTCACCAAATAATTTGTATCTCTCTGCTGTATCAATTTTTGGATACTCCGCCAGCCGCAACTCCCGTAGGTTCGAAGATAGCCGCTATCGGTGAACGATTCACTGACTCTAAGTTACGACTATCCTTCCGACTGCGCCAGTTATATTTTTGGAGGCAGCCAGGGATGCAAAGAAATGCAATTTAAATAAAAATTAATTTATTAACTAATAATTTCTTACTACTAAAGTGACTATCGATCGATGTTAGATCAAATCAGTGAAGATGCAGCCAAGTAATGCCTTTTATACTACAATATTATAGGAAGTTGTGACAATGGCATTGATGAAATGTAGGTGGCTGCTGCGCTTGCACTTGCGCCTGACCTTGTCTTGTCGTCGCCGTGCGAGGTTTGTAGAGCAAAGCTGATGCGACGATTCGAGTTCCGTAACACACTACACTTAAATAACTTTAAATACATAAATATTATAAATATAAACACCCATGACTGGAGTACAAATATTCGCGCTCATCACACAAATGAATGCCCCCAGCGGGACTCGAAGCCGCGACCACTGGCACAGCAAGTACACTACAAACTGAGCCAAACGTGTCGCCAATAATACATTTTTTATATTTTCCTACTTCATTTAAATCCCTTACATAAAAGTTCGCCATCTCTCAGGGTGTAAATTATATATGTAATTAACTTCCTGCGAGCCGGTCGATTTCGCATACCTATTTTGGAGTATTTGAATCTTTAAATTAAATATTTAGTTTATCACCTTGAAATATCCAACTTTATACATGAATTATTTTACACGCGGTACTTATCTTGAAATTACCTATTAATAATTTTTTTTTTTTATGAATGGTTGACATTATTAGTTTGAGTAAATTGTTGTCATGTTGTAAATATTAAGATTTATTTTATTACTAAATGGTTAAAGTTCATACAATGAGAAATTAGAAAACTAAAATTAATGAATACACATTTTAGTTAAATTATGTAAATAGAAAATCTGTGATGGGTTGTGTGTGTTGTTCTCTAAGTTCATTCGTGTCCATTGTTCTAGATGCTTTAGAAAGGTAATATTTATTTTCCAATACTAATATATGTATTTAAATTGCTTACAGAATCTAATTACAAGCTTTAATTAAAAAAAAATGCTTTTTAGAATATCTCTGTGCACAGTATGTGCTATGTTAACATGCTGTTTGATGATAACAATAATAACGGTGATGGTACTTGGTATTGGGATTGGATATCATTATTGCTTTGTACAAAATTCTGTGGAAGCTATGGGTATGATTTATTTCATTAATTAACTAAATTTTACAAGTTCCTACGTTGTCGCAACTGTCACATAGTTCAGACGCAGATTCGAATTCGAAGTTTTAGTATGTTGGTCTGGTTAAGACATGGACCTGGTAAAGTGTAGTGTCTAATATTTTTAGCAATACCTATCTAAATAACATTATTTATCTCTACATTTTTGATACATTAACTTGTTCCGAATGTTTAGTGGAATGTATTAGGACTATAAATTGTGCGAGCCTGCACTCTCTATCATGATGAAATTTAATATGTAGTTCTCTTCCGAGTTCAGTTTTTTTAATATATGTCTGGTTTTGTGAATTTCGAGGCTAGATGTTATGTTCTCTCAGTCTTTAGTATTTACGCTGCACAAGGGAAATGCACGTAAAAAAATGAAGAAAACTATATTAATTCCTTTAGACCGGCATGTATATATTTAATTTTTAAATTATAGAAAAAGCCGCGGAAGCCGCTGGCGCTTTGCGGTCGGGTTCGCCGCAGCGCGGTCACGTGATGCGCTCTGTGGACAAGACCGTTCAGCGCGGGTTTGCTCACCGCGTCGCACGCCGTAACATCGACAATCCTCCCGATTCGAATAAAAAATTTAATGTGACTTTGTCTTTAAATAATGTTACATTGATAAGAAATTTCACTGCCGCCTAACTTATATTTATCCTTATCAATCCTTGTTAAATAAAGAATAAATAAGAATAAAGTTTAAATTTCATGACAAAGAATATATATTATTGTTTTATAATACGAAATCAAGTTATTTATTACATATATTTTGATAAAAAAACACGAAAAATAATAACAAAATAAATATATTTTTTAAGCCGCATTGGCACTTAATAATATTGGTGGTTCTGTACTATTTAGTGGCCTTAGGAAGGGAATGCTTGTAGATGTAATGTTTTTTGAGCGACGAAATCTGCCAATTAGTCTTCGTGAAATATCTCGTTCATGTGGAGATAGCTCTGGTTCTCGTGGTGGTCTAAAATATATGACATAGTATTTACTATATACGTATATAAATAATACTTTACTTGCACGGGGTGGGTGGAACGTGAAATCGTCAACAACCCAACTTTGGGCTGATACTGAGAACTTCTTGACAGAAGATCCCTATTAACTTAACTGACCCGACCCGAGATTCGAACCCAGGATTTCCGGATATGCGCCGAACGTGTTAGCCACTGAATCAACGGAGGCAGTTTGCAAAACAATAAATAATCGCTGTCGTGCGAGTAGAAATCTCATGCAGGACAATGGGCGATGGAGGACGTATTGGATAAATGTTAGAATTTATATTAAATATTTGCGCATTGAACTTCAAAGAAAAGAATCTATAAATTGAGATTTCGATATAATTCCAAAACCCTCCAACAAGTTTATTTAATTTAAATTAGCAATAGTAGGGGAGCCCAAGAGGGGATTTTCTGTAGTTACTCGAGCGCGGCAGATTAACATAAAAGAGGTTACCTTGCACTCTATTGAGTACTTTCACCACAATATAAGTCTTCTATATAAAGGGGCGCGTCTAGGGAAGCCGATTAAAATATTTAAAAAATGTTTTGATAAGGTAAAAATACTTGAAACCGTCAGATTAAGGTGTGGTAGACTAGTCACATCCTGAAAAGTGTCCAATTTAATAATCTGCCGATTTGCACAAGCTTAAGAGGCAAAAATCATCATAAACTTTATAGTCGATTCTTGCCTCTTCGGCTTGTGCAAATCGGCAGATTATTGAATTGGACACTTTTCAGGATGTGACTAGCCTACCACACCTTAATCTGACGGTTTCAAGTATTTCTACCTTATCAAAACATTTTTTAAATATTTTAATCGGCTTCCCTAGATGCGCCCCTTTATATAGAAGACTTATATTATGGTGAAAGTACTCAATAGAGTGCAAGGTAACCTCTTTTATGTTAATCTGCCGCGCTCGAGTAACTACAGAAAATCCCCTCTAGGGCTCCCCTACTACAAAGTCCGTATTGGACAGATGTTTATTATATCAATGAATAATATCCGCTTTGGTTTCAATTTTCAAAAATGTTGAGCATGGACCGTTTTAAAATATTTAACAAATAAAAAAACAAACCTTTCTGTTTCGAGAACAATGATTGGGGTTTCTGTTTTTTCTAGAAAAACTTGTTGTCCAGGTTTTTTGGTTTCATATATTTCTGTAACAGACAGTTTATATTTTGTTACATACCTTCGAGTGTATAACATTTAAGGAAATTCATTACGTAGGTATATACAATAGGGATGATAATTTTACCAAGTATAGGCGCAGGCGCGTGTTCTACTTCTGATCGGTTGACGGCGACTAGTCGTACAACAGGCTGACTGTCTTGTCCTGATCTTCGGCCGACCACCGTGGATTCCGTGGTCGATCTTGATGACACTAAAATAAGTTATATTTTTAATATTTCACATCCGTTATCAATCAGTACATAATTTTATTCTTATTATATATGCTACACTATTTAACAGGTAATCACGTCTAGCTTATAAAAAACTTCCAAAAATATACCTACCTATTTAAATTATCATCATCTGATAATAATACTTTCTTAATACATTTACCCGAATATTTGACATTTTAATTTAAATTAGGTCAAGCAATCATATAATGACCAACAAATAGGTAGGTATATAATGACTTTTGAGACGTTTAAACTTTAAAACCTTAGGTCTCTCTCGTGACCGTGATTGCTGTAATGAAAGCTTTCGAAACGTTGGGAACCAAAAATCAAAACAAATCCGCGAAAAAATCCGAAAGACAGTTTTATTTAAAGGTAGGTTGCTTCCCAATACAAACTCTCGTCCCCATTTTCAACCCCTTAAGCGATGATTTCCGAGATAAAAACTATTCTATGTCCTTCCTGAGGTCTCAAACTATATTCTTACCAAATTCCATCTAAATCGGTTCAGTAGTTTCGGAGCCTATTCGGTGCAAACAAACAAAAAAAATCTTTCCTCTTTATAATATTAGTATAGATATTATCATTTGATTTACATCTAAATAGATATTATCTAAGTAGTCGATAAAGAGATAGTTAAATAATTTCAAACATACATAAAGTGGTACAGTAATTAATTTATTGGTGATAATCGTGATTGAAATTGTACGATTATTAGAAGCTTACTTGCAAAAGACGTGAGTTCCTTTTGAGCGTAATGATAGCCGACGGATATACCGTACACCATTAGTATAAGTATTGTAAACATTAGTAACATTAAGACGAAGGCACAACATGTCCATGTTAAGACCCTGAAGAAATTAGTTCTTAATTTGTGGAATATCCAAATAATGCTAGTAATAAATTTCATTCAACACCACTAGGTAGTAGGTAGATATTATATTCGTTCGCGGGCGTCTTTGGGGTTTGCCCAATTTGGGTGGGAGGTTAGGTTCTTTTTGCGGTTGCCCACTTCGGTGGGCGGTGTTTGTGTCGTGTGGGGCTGCTCCGGGTACTTCTCTGACCAGCAGAGTGGACTTGGGAGCAGCCTCATGGCTTAGGGAGGTTGTTAGTTTTCCCATAATGGGGTTGTCCCGCTTGGGGCGGCCTCATGGTTGGTGGCTTCGGCCAACCGTCGGGGCGTCGCGGTTGTATGCGAAAGCGGTCCCGTGGCGTCCCACATGGCGGCAGGGGGGGAAAGTTGGGTTTTAGTGGGTATGCCGGTCTCATTAGCCGGAGAGTCTCCACATAACCACCCTGGGGGAAGTAGGGTGGTATCCGTAATAGGATTTCCCAACTATAAAAAAAAAAAGGTAGATATTATATACTATTGTAAGCATACCTCTCCACACAAAAAATCATTGAACAGAATACCGACTGTATCAAGCCCATTTTTTAAAGGATAAATACTGAAAATTAAAAGTTTAGATAAATATATAAAACTTTAAATAAATATAGATTTCGTTTTTATTTTATAGCTTGATAACAAAATGATATTTATTCTAACATTCAAGGTATAGTGACCATTCGTTGGATATTGTTTTTATAAAATAATTTCAAGTTATGTAAAATTACGAAGTGTAGGTCTTTATAGTAATAAAATAAATGTCAATGTCATTTAATTACAACTTCTGTTAAACAGAGGAAGAAAAAGAATTTTTGCGTCCAGTAATTAGGCAACATGTATGTCCTTTTGAGGACCCTTTTTAGCCCTCAAAGTAATAAAAGGGGAGAAATTAATAAAAATCCCTTATTCTAAGGCATTTATTACATTAGCTCTTTATTTAGAACCATAGTGTTATACTAGATATTTGTGTGTGCTGAGATCTGATAGAGGTCCCTCGTATCTCCATTCCACGTGACATTGGCGAAGTAATTTGTTCTGAACATATACGTTTTGGAGCCATTAACAATTTAATTGATTTGATAGAGGAAAATGGAGGATGGGGTCGTAGCGTGGGATAAGGACACGGAGGAGAAGAGATATTCACCCAGTAATTATAATGGCATAGATGGTGAATTTATTCTCAAGTCATTTATATTCAAATAATAAGGTCAAATAAAACAGTAAATTCAACAGCAAATATGGATTTTATTAAACAAATTGTATAATATAATACAATACTTTCAATATCAAAGGCACAACCAATTATCATTATAACATAATGTTCTAGAACACTTTTTAACAAATATTGTTTTAACAACATGTCACAAAAAATAATTTATACTTAAATATACAATATTAATTATATAAACGAAATAGCAAAATGCAGAAAAAAATACTGTACAACACACATACCTTCTAATATTCTTTTATGTAAAAAAACTTCTTATAAAAAATTAATCTTAAGACCGTGGCGGTCGTAGCAGCGTCGGCGCCGATTGCTCAGCGTTAGTAGAAAACGCTTCATAGTTATACATACATACATATTGACCTATTCAGCGCCGACCGTCAGCGTGAGAAGAAAATCAGCCTAAGACTCACCGTCAAAATAAGAATAAGCTAAGAAGCTAAGATTAAATTATAAAGGCATCAATCAAATAACATATTTTAACACTACAAATGAGACGAAAAAAAAGTACAATTAAAAAAGTTTTACATATTAAACAAAAAAAAGTAACTTTTATAATTGGATTCGTATACAGATAAAATGGTCTGTGTTTGAGCAATGTATTAGGATAATATCATTGTACAACAGTGAACACTACATTAACAGTCAATATCAAATAGGTGATAACATTAACAACAATTATTGCTTCTAATAATATCTGAACACATTATTAATACTATAAATAGTTCTTTAAACCACAATGGATATGACGAAAATAAACTTAATATATTAAAATAATAATAATAACTACTTAAAAAAAATGAGCGCATGTAACCTATACGAGCGGTTGAAATAAAACTTCTTTGGCGCTGGTGTAGATACCGCAATTAAATGAAAACAAATCAAAATATAAATATAATATTTTTTATAAGATATCATTATTATAAAAATATAAATATGTATATTTTTTTATTTTAAATTATAATGTGAGAGTCAAAGTTGACTCTCACTTCACGGATTTTTCAATGTATTAATTTACCTCTTAGTCACGACTCACGCCTAAAGAAGTTTTACATGTAGACATTAGTCAAACGAGCGTTTTAATTAAGTCGTTTATTAACTTAAATGACAAAAATGTTCGGCTCGGAAAAATTGTATGATTGTTAATCTGTGGTTACAGATAAGTTACAAGCATAGATTAAATATACATACTCAAGAAATAATATTCAATTAATTTACTCTATGATATACCCTGTTCGGCTATCGTGGGTTCGGTTTCAAGCACAGAATTAATTGGTGTAAAGCTTGGAATTGCTTTGACAAGGTGAGGAAGTTCAAAGATGTTAAGGATTTTTCTACACCACTTGTGTAAGATTAGTAAAAAGAAGTTACTTAAAGATACTTACACAGTGTAACATGTTCTTTACTAATTATATAAATGCGAAAGATGTATTTCTGTTTGTTATTTCTTCGTGCTCTAACGAGTCAAAGGATCGAGAGAAAGGAGATACCCTGGATCAATATACATACGTACATAGGTTACTTCTTATCGACATATAGGCGTACCACAGGAGCGCATCCCGTTTACGCTGTTTCTTACGTCATAGTTTTGCTTATATTAACCAAATTTGATTATTCTGTATGTAATAACTATGTCTATTTATACACCAAGAGTGGCCCCACTTAAATTTTTCTTTTAAAGGTTACCTTTAACATAGGTTAAATAAAGGATGGTATAAAATTCATAGCGATATGTTTTTAATAGCTGTACCTTTAAAATCAAAAACAATTGTCCACTGAATGGATTTTTATACTTTGGCGACATATTATGTAAGACATCCCCGTGATAATATCATAAACGAGTCTATTGTTTGGCGTGCAGCAGGTCCCAGAGGGGCAGCTCGGCGAGGGCGGTGCGCAGCTCGTGCTGCAGCTGAGCGGCGAGCGCGGGCGCGGCGAGCGCGGCGGCGGCGCCCCGCGCCCACGCGCGCGCCGCGCCCGCCAGCCCGGACAGCGGGCCCAGCCCGCTTATGTGCAGGTCCATGCCGCTGCGTTTACGTAAACTTTATTTGAATGCGTGTGTGTAATCTATACTATCTTATACTAATATTATAAAGAGGTAAAGTTTGTGACGTTGTAGGGGGTAATCTCTGGATCTCGGTTCCGTAGATCTTAGATTTAGATGAAATTTGGTAAGAAGATAGTTTGAGACCCTAGGAAGGACATAGGATACTTTTTATCCCGGAAATCATACCTTAAGGGGGTGAAAATGGGGATGAAAGTGTGTATGGGGAATCAACCTAGGAACGAGCCCGAGCGAAGTGAGGCCGAGTCGCTAGTTTTATGTAACAAACATTCTCCTTGGCACTAAAAGTCAGAATGGATTTGGATGAAATTTAGCTTACAGATAGAGTAAAGCGATGGTAAGCTGCTAGTATATTAAGCAAACAAAAACTTACTCTAAGTGTGTGCAGCGTAAGTCGTCCAACTGCGTGTAGGGCTCCCAGCGCGTGAGGCCCACGCTGAGGGCGAGGTGCAGCGCGTTGTCGGGCAGCGCGGCCTCCATGCGACCGGAGCACGACACACCCATCGCTTTGATTCGGTATTCGTCATAACCGATCTGGGGTTTTACCAAAGTAAATGGGATACTCATCAAACATAAAAAGGAGCATAAAAAATGTCTATAGAAGCGTATGATGTCATTAGCACCGCCATTTTATTTATTTTTCAAAGTAGCGGCGCATGATAAACTGATATAAATTGATAGAGGGCATTATAGTAAACAAATACCAGCACCAGTAAAGTACGAGCAATATGGTGTTTTAAAGTGTCACGTGTCCGAGATATTTTGATGTAAAGATCGCTTAGATGAAAATTAAAGGAAAGTACTTTTTGACAAAAAGTGAAGGCTATTTACATACAATAAATTCATTTGCAATGCTTGTCATTGTTTTCATATCGCAATCTATATTTGACACAACATTTTTTGGTACAGAAGGTTAACCCTAAAAAAAAGTATATGTATGTCTATACATACATATACCATTGGATGGAGTACTACTGACTTGGCGCGACAGAAGAGATAAGAGCTATGCGATAGAAGGAGAAGGAATATTCTACACGTTGGCTATTGACGTATAATTGCACTCTATTACGTCGCAGCAAGTGTCTTTATATATTTCAATTATTGGCGGAGTTAACATTCTGCCTCAAACTAGTTGCTATTTTGAGCTATTTTACTTCGAGCATCGAAAATAATCTCGTATTTCTTTTATCATTCATTATTATATAGTAATACTAGCATTGCCCGCGGCTCCGCCCGCGTTCAGATGACCAAAAAGCAAATTCTTAGGTTTTGCATATTAGTATACTCTTATAATGCAGTTTTTGTAATTTTCCTCAGATATGAAATATTTTCCCGCGGTAAAAAGTACCCTATATGTTGACCCAGATAACCAGCTATCACCATAGCAAATTTCATGAAAATCCTTCCAGTGGTTTTTCCGTGATGCGGTAACAGACAGACAGACAAAAATTCTAAAAACTATAGATTCGGCCTCTGTATCGATAATAATGTCTATTTCAATAAGATTTTCCAAAAAATATTTAATGTAGGTACAGATTCGGCTCAGTTAGAATTTTATTATATGGATAGATAACATAATGCAATGTTACGACAAAATATAATCTATACTTAATATTATAAAGAGGTAAAGTTTGTGATCTTGTGAGTTTGTGATGTTGTAGGGGTAATCTCTGGATCTACTGAACCGATTTTCAAAATTCTTTTACCAATAGAAAGCCACGTTCTTTCTGAGTGTCATAGGCTATATAATAACCCGAAAAATGAAAAGGCTTTTTCGTGGTAGTCGGATTTGCAAAGTAATTCGGAGAAAAAACGGTTGAACGAAAACGTTTCTTACAAACGCTGCCTTAACTATGAGAGATATATGATTATGTTCTAGAGAAAAGATGTAAAGCTTAATAATGCCTACAAAAAAGTCAGCGACAGCATATGTCTAACTTTTATATTTAAGTCACAAAAAGTAGTTTTTTATATTAAAAAAACAATTTAAATCGGTAGGTCATGTTTATTGGTCCTATAATCAACAATTATGAATTCTTATCAAAATAAGCAAATTAATCGTCTAAAATATTTAAAACAAAAGACTTTTCCCTTTTACTGCATATAATTTGGACAAATGATTAAAGAGATAATACAACATATTCGTAGGTATGGACGAACCCGAGCGAGCTGTTTGTCTGTTTTTCTCTTTGTACGGGCTAATCTCCGGATCTATTGGACCCATTTAAATGAAATTTTTCATGGTGGTACCTTATATCCCCGGGCAACATCTTAGATACTTTTCTTCCCGGAAAATTAAAGAGTTCCCGTGGGATAGTTAAAAAACTATAGTAACTTATACAGCTTAGTACACAAAAACTTATGCACTTAATTTAGTAAAATTTGGCATGCTGATACCTCATATTGCCGGTCAAACAACAGGTTACTTTTCATCCCGGAAAAATGAACGGTTCCCGTGGGCTAGATCTGTTTGTGCTTTTATATTATATACTACCAAGTGAGGATAAGTCGCCAGTAAAATATAATAACTAACCTGTAAGTCTTTTATCTTGAGAGTAACGTGGAAGTTCGTTTTCATGGGGTCGGGTCTCGTGACGCTAACGTCGTTGATCCTGTTAATGGTTGCCAAGTTCTTTACCCAGCCAGATTCCGTTTCGAATTTGCCTATAAACGATAATGCTCCTATCTGAAATATAACTAGATTATTATTTAATTTGAAAATAATAATAATATTGCCTTTATAATGGTAAAAAATACACAAATATATAATTTAATTTTATTGCCTGTAAGTAAAATATTAAAAAGTTTGGTTTATTCAATTACATACTTAAATAAACTAGAAGTAAAAAACAAACAAATCATAATTATGGAAAGAATAATAAAAAATCATTATTAGTAATTTTGAAATTTTAATTAAAAAGTTACTATATTATTTCATACCTTATGTAAAAAAGTGGCGTGTAATGGGGGTAGTTCGAGAACTTCTCGACATGTTTGAAACAGTGTTCTTCTCATATTTATTAACACTAAATCGACGATTCTGTTACCATTTTGTGCTAGGCTGTTTACCATTGTTCTGTTTATCGACAAAAAAAACACAAAATAAATTTATTTAAACAGCTAATTATTTATACTTATGATTAGTACAAGTTTTTGCCAGTCCGTTTTTGCACGGCACGATCTGTGTGGTTTATTTATATATCATTTTGTCAGCATGTACACACTATTCCTTCACTCTCGTTGTCCGATCGGACGACATTTCGACAATTACTAGAGACCAATGTACGTGATCTAAATCGGCACGGCATGTAACATCACCAACTTCCCAACTCCGGGATAATACTGACTCTTATGAAAGAAAAACCCTTTATGAAATTAAGAAAGTATACTTGTCCCAACCCAGGTCTCGAACCCAGGACCTCCAGATCTGCAGCCGTACATGCTAGCCACTAGCCTGATGAAAACAGCCTAACTTCCTCCCTAATAAATATCCAATAAATAAATACAATTACGTATATGCTTCCAACATGTTCGGGTTACAGCAGACCAAATCAGACACGCTCGTAGCTTGTCGTAATACTTGACTCAAATGCCTTTCTAACTTTTGTTGAAGTAACGCGAAGAGTTGTAGAGATATTGCTGCGGTCAGTGGCAGATCATCTAAAATTAAAACACGTTTGGCTCAGTTTGTGATGACCCTACTTGCTGTGCCAGCGGTCGCGGGTTCGAGTCTCGTTAGGGGCATTCATTTGTGTGATGAGCATGAATGTTTGTACTTCAGTCATGGGTGTTTATAATATGTATGTATTTAAAAATATAACACAAGCATCATAGCTTACCATGGAACTAGACGGTGCTGTGTGTCTCAATGTCCCAACACATTTGTTTATTATTTTAAAAGTTAATCAAATACTTATAGTCTATGGTTGCATTGTACAAGATTTTATCTATGCCTTTTGCTTTTATATTATGCCCGTTACTTTCTTTGCTTTATCAAATAAATAAAAACTATAATACCAATTATAATTTTGATGAAGATATAATTTTAACCAACTGATCTTTTTTCCTTTCGCTTTTGTGGTAATACTTATTTGATGTACCTTAAAATTGTTTCTTTGTATAATACTTAAACCTCTTTTTTTCTTTTATTTAGGGCCTATTAAGAAATGTTTATTTAGATATCATAAAACTCAATACTTTCATTAAATAATATATTTCGATTAAACCACTGCTTACATAAAATGATAAGTTTGCTATTGTACCAATGACCATTAACTTCATATCTATTACATGTGTTAGGTAGAATTACTTTTACTAGTGATAAGGTGCATGTTTTATTATAAATTGCGCTAGCAATATACAATTTAATTAAATTTAATTTAATTTTAATTTAACTGTAACGTAAATATAAATTTTAACATTATATCTATGGAACTTTGGATTAATTGTGACAACAATCAAGTACCAAGTGTCAATAAAAAAGCTACTCCAATTTTCACTTGTAATTTTAGAGCAATTAAGTGGGGTAATATTTTTTTAACCACACCAGAAAAAAACGTATGAGATTACTATAATATAATTAATTTCTCTTTTTATCTTTGATCCATATTGAATGTTACTTAAATCTGTTAAGCTATTACTGCCTGAACAAGTAATGTATGTATGTTGATTCACTAAAAATGCTTAACATTTTGGAGCGCTTCAATATGTGATAATTAAGTCATATTAGAAGTATGATATTAACATTTTCTTAAAATATTTATTCCATTACAACACATTATAAATTAAAGTTCCCACTGTATTAAAGTACCAAATTGTGTTTGTGTTTGTTTTGGCTAATCTCAGAAACAACTGAATGGTTGTTTGACTAAAATTATAAATATTTTGTCTGAGAGTTCTGTCGGAAGGGAATCTGGGGACGTATACAACCAAAGTGAGGGTACAAGTACTATAGAATAAATATAATCAAATCTACACTCTGCTTCTAAGTAACTTATTAAGAAAACTATGATTCTTTAACACATGAATTCGGGTGCATTAATATCATAAATAAAAAGTAGTTTGTAGACATTATAATGCAAAAATTTCTATGCATAAATTAATTTTAATGATGGTGCATGTAAGAAGGACAAACAAGCAAACAAATATGACTTTAACATTAATAACATTAGTAGATTCACTTTAATAATATTTTCACTGAGATTCAACAACAGCAACAATCCAATAGTGAAACTTAATGATATTTTATGACATTCTTACCAATATGCTTTGCTAGTTGCTCTGTGTTTGTAAACTCATAGCCTCCACCTCTTTGCGGGGATGGCCATGATAACTGTAAAATAAAAATGTACTAGCTTGTAGACTTTTAATTAAGATATATTGATTATATCTAATATATTTAAACGAGCAATTCTTGTATATATATATAAATATATATATCAATATATAATCTGAATCTCGGAAACGGCTCCAAGGATTTTCATGAAATTTAGTAAACAAGGGTTTTCGGGGACGATAAATCAATCTAGATTCGTCTTATGTCTGAGAAAACGCGTGTTTTCGAGTTTTCATGAAGTTTTCTTTTGCTATTCCACGCAAAATATGGTCGGTAATTTACATGCTCGGGCATAAGCATCGTGGTCAAGCCGCCAAGGTGCCTACAAAGGTATAATTTTTTTTTGTATTTATCCAAGTTTTAAGTTTTTTTTTTAAAGAAAATTGTACATTTAACGAAAAACTCCGAGCGAAGCTCGGTGGCCCAGGTACTATATTACTTAAATGGCAATGTTATGGTGCTATTTATGTTTACAAAAGTAGCAAAAATTTAAAAAATATAAAAACTTTATCCCAATAAAAATACAGTATACTTATAGCATATTGTCTTTGACAATAACATAATTTAAAATTTTCACAAGCAAATATATTTTAAATTGAAAAATATTTACCTTGACAAGGACTTCATCATGTATAAATTCAATGCCAGGATTAATAAAGGCATATGCATCATCTTTTAGAACCAAGCCCACATTCACATCTGCAGTCAGGTTTGACAATGTTATACTGAAATAACAATTAAAAACAAACAAATTGATATTGTTCAAAAATTATTTGACATATTTAGTACATAAAACAATTAGAATTTCTGTTAAATTTTAAATATGCTTGATTTTATTACAGGGAAAATATAACTCCACAAACCTTATCTCCTTTTAAATGCAAGACCTACAAATTCAATATAACATAAATCATAGAAAGAAATAAGAATTTGAATTTATATACAAAGTCATATAATTGGATTGGAAGTAAAGAATATATATTAGGCACTAATTTAACTGGTAACAAAATTCATACACATTTCTTTGTCGACTAACACATATGAGATTATTTATTATATTGTGGTGATAATTGAAGATAAATTATAGACAATATTTATTACATGTTGTATTTTGGTATGCTCATATAAAGCCAGTATTATCCAGAATAACTGTATACTTTCCACAACATAAAAATACATACACAGAGCAGCATATACAATAAGATATATGTATATACATACATAGTAGATACATACCAAAGCAGTAAGAACTAGCTTATTTATTAAAAAATCTTGTCATCTTCTGATGTATATTAAATTCGAATAATATATTAATACTCTTACAGAACATGTCCTTCAGCCATGACAGGAATAAGGTTGTAAAGATTCTCATTGAATGCACTATATAGTCCTTTAACATTCACTTCTCCTAGTGAACAACGCAAAGAAAGTGACATTGATTTGAGGTTCAAAGAGACTGATTGCAAGTGAAAGGTTGGAGGTCTTACTAGTTCTAATCTTGATAATGTCCTGTAAATTAATTTAAAAGTCTAGGGTTATGTCGAATAACATTAATCTGCAGAAGATTTTTTTTTTATTGAAGTCTGCACTTACACCTGTGTATTTTTGGCAAAATATGATGTGTCTTCCAATATATCTGGTTTAATTTGTTCTCCATTTTTGGTTTGTTGCAAAGCAACATTAGTAAAACTCTAGAAAATGAAACAGAAACCGTCATAATTTGCTACGACTTTATAAGAATTAAACAATCGTAAAAAAAGTTTTATTTACTCTTTTGATAACGTCTTGAAGGTTTGGTTGAACTTTTGTTAAGAGCTCTTCGAGCTCTTGTTCAATATTCACAGATTCTTCTTCTGTCATTTTGCCAAAATCATTGTTCATTTCTAATATAAATTAGATATCACAGGATTTCTTAATAATTCAAGTAAATCGTTAACGTAAATTCCAAAACATATTGAATCTAAATGCCACAACTCACAAGTCACAACAACGAATGTGACACTTGACAGACAGGTGAGAGCCAATTGTAATGACATTTGCTATGACATTTTAGTTTACGGATGACTATGTCAAAAAAGAGATAATACAGAGTAGGTAAAGACGATTAAAAATGTGATGCCCCGATAGAAAGAGATAAAGAATAACCAGACCCCTTTCTATCTCTTTTTATTTTATACGTTTAAAACATGAAAGTGATAAATTAAATCACTATTAAATATGGAATTAGAATGTACTATAATAAATTAACCATTTTTTCGTGTTCAATAAGAATTGTGCGTGATAATAAATAAAAGATTTATGTTATATTATATGAAACTATCTTTTTGGTTTTTTTCGCGGATTTATTTTGATTTTTGGTTTCGAATGCTTTACAGCAATCTTGGTCACGGTAGAGACCGAGAGACTAAGATTTAAGATGTCTCAAAAGCATTATATAGTTGTTACACACTGCCTACCCACAAATTAACAAAATGAATTCAAAAAATTCATAAATGGCATTAAAGTACCTTAGAGTATTTATTAATTGTAATTTTAAACATTTATATAATTTTAATAAGTTATATAATGGAATATGGAATATTATTTAATATTGCCTGATAACATTAAAATTATTCCATTTTTAAGAAAACTTAAGTTATTAATTAGTAATCTTAATTAGTATTATTAAGTTTTCTATTAATGCGTTTCTATTAAATCTTAGTCTATTAATACGCATGCCTCATGAAACAAAGATAGGAACTGCGCAGATATTTTCTATCTTTTTTTCTTCACGCCTCAACGCCACCTAATATGGTGCTGAATGGCAGTTACTTACTCTTGTTTTGTCTCTATGATGTCAAAGAGTGTGAGTTTTTTGATATGTAGAGATAAGGTGAACTATCTCTGTCATGAAAAAGTCTTCGTCGAAACTCGACACGCGTTAAATTGGGGTGGCGCCACGGTAGCAAGTGGGTACATTTTGAAGAAAGCGCCAATAGTATTATTAAAAGTTCTCAAATTCTTCTTTCTCCACGTTCCACCATTCTCCACGTTCTCTCTCTCTCCACGTTTATATCACCATAGTATTTTCGGTTATATTTACTAAATTATTTTGCACTTCGTAAATAGGTTCAATAACTACTCAAGTCGACCAAAATATTAAATTGTTCAACTCAGCACACTTCACTCTCTTTAAAACTGCTAAATTTATATCATGGCCTCTTGCTACGCTAGCGCCATTTTGGTGGGTTTTTGAACTATTATTTACCGCTAACAGGTGAAACTTTTTCAACTTGCCTCCCATAAAGATAGTTCTCCTCTACCCTCCATAGTTTTTTTTATCATTAATAAAATTCCGTACTGATACATCGTAGTCGGCAGAGCTAACTTATGAGAGAACAGCGGCTCACCCTCTCTTCACTCAGGTTCGCCTTTAGAAAAATAAAAACAAATCTACCCACGGGAATCGCACATTTTTCTGGGGTAAAAAGTAGCCTAAGTGCTATTCCAGACTGTTATCTATCCCTGTGTCAAATTTCATCGAGATACGTTCAGCCGTTCTGGCGTGATTGAGTAACAAACATCCATCCAAACATCCAAACGTGTAAACTTTCACACTTGTAATATTAGTATAGATAGGGCCTATATATTAGTATGTGAAAAATGGAAATATGGAGGGTAGCGGTAAGGTCCAGAATCGTCATATTTGAGGGACAAGTTTAAAATGTGTTCAGCTGTAAGCGGTAAATAGCAGTTCAAAAACTTACCAGAATGATGGTAGCGTTAGTATGATATGAATGTAGCAGTTGTAAACGGAATGAAGTGTGTTGACTGTTGTTGGAAATATTTTTGGTGATTAGAGTACTTAATTATATCTTATTGTTGTTTCCTATTCTACTTTTTTGTACTCTAAATAAATTTTGCGCTTTCTTTAAAATTTACCTACAATAAGTGCAAAATATTAAGGTTATTGGGATACAGGTTGGGGTACGCTACACGTATAATAACGCTAGGTACGTCTATTTATAAAACATAAAACATAAAAGATAAAATATCTAAATAATTAAAACTCCTGTATTTTATGTAGATATAACGTGATAGCTAATCGCTTTATTTAATTTAATTGCTTATTTTTTACGTTTTGCGCTTTTTATGTTTAAGCTGGTTCTTTTTTGATTTTGTTTTGAGTGATGGTATACGGCTATGATATCTTAATTTCGATGCTTTTCTATTTTCATTTTCTGAGACGTCTTCCTTTTCTTTATCTGAATTTTCGTCTGATGATTTAGCGGTATCATTTGAAGGAACCGTGTTAACATTACTGTCTGTATCTAATTCATCCAAAGGTTTCCCAGTATCACTGTCATGTTCACTTTGGGAAATATTTTTGTTTTGCAATGATTTCTCAGTTACTTCTTCTATACTATTAGTAGAATTTGCTACCTCACTTATATCATCAGTATAAGAATTATGTATACTACTATGAGGAGGTAGTAGGGGCACTACAAAAAAATATTTTTTTTAGGACAAACTTACACACACTACGTTATGAACAGAATCTAAATACTCATAATCTAAATATTGTATTGTTATTATATTTTTTTTAATTACATATCACTTTAAGCTATACTTAGTCTTAAATAAGAAGGGGCCCTGTGGAAGGTTTGAGGTACGCGATACAGCGTACCTACCCTACTGCGTGCGTCTCAGCACTGCATTGTCCATATTTTGTTATACAATAACTTTTATGAGATTATGAAGTATATTTGTATCCATTTTGTTATTACAAATAGTAAAAGTAAATAAATTAAATAAATTAAATATTCATACCACAGCGGTCCAAAGAATCCAGCATCTTTATATTGTGGACCAAAGTATTAACCATTATTGCAATAATGTGACGCTCGAGTAAATATTTGAAGTTCGATATCATTCTATTTGCTGGCCCTTCAACAGTCAGTGACTCGGGTCTGAAGAACATAAAAAATATATTAATAATATTTCTCAACGGATCTACGGTGTCTACCAGTATTCAGCTATAGATAGATTGTTTCAAGAGGAAGGTTTATATGTAGGTTTATATGCATATTATAATACAGAAAAGCCTAGAAATTTAATGATTTGTATATTTTATACTAACCGTTAAAACGTTCTTAACTAACGTAACGTAAGCTAGTTAATATTATAAATGTGAAAGTTTGTGAGTATGTATGGATGTTTGTTACTCTTTCACGCCAGAACGAGAGAAGAACGAGAAAAAGAAAGAGAGAACAAGAGAAGAGATCTGGATGAAATTTGGCACAGAGATAGATTATAGTTTGGAATAACACATAGGCTACTTTTTATCCCGGAAAAATGTACGGTTCCTGTGGGATAGTTTTTTTTAAATAATTAAATAAAACTTTCTTTTCGGATTTTTTCGCGAATTTATTTTGATTTTTAGTTTCCAACGTTTCAAATGCTTTTCAGCAATCATGGTCACGGGAGAGACTGAGGCGTTAGATGTCTCTAAGGTATTATATAGTTGTTACAGACAGCCTACTCACAATTAACAAAATGAATTCATTAAATTGAAAAATAGCTCCAAAGTACCTTACATTATTTTAATTTTAAACATTTTTATAATTTTAATTAGTTTTATAATTGAAATATTCTATATCAAATTTCGCGAAAAAATCCGAAAAAATAGTTTTATTTAAAATGTTAAGTATTCGCGTAAATCTAAGAAAGTATTAGGTTTGTTTTTATTTTCTTAAAGGTAAACCCGAGCGAAGCGAGGGTGAGCCTCTAGTAATAAATAAAATGATCAGATCAATAGATATTACATACTTTGTCTGTTCCAAGAAGGTAAAACTTATATCTGCAGTTTCTGGAATTTTAAGCAATAATAGGCTCATGTGTGCACTAAGTTCATCCGCTGTTAGAGTAAGGGATCCTGTTACTGCTGGAAATCCTGACTTAAGTATTGCATCAAATGTGTATGTGAGCTAGAATTTTTGAAAGAATTTTATTATATTGCTTCAAGTAGATATTGATCTATTTTGAAATAATATTAGACCGATTGTCTAGCTAAAAATATATATTTCTGATTACATTGGCTAACGAAATCTAAATTCTGTGTACTTTTTATTTTCTAGTTTATATTAGCTTTAGATTCCTGAATACATATAATAGTATTAGCAGATTAATATAATATGGATATGTTGTATCTTGATAGGAAATTACTATTTCAATAAAATTTACCTTTAGGTTACTAAAGGCAACTACAGTATCAATTTTACGGATGTTGTTTTCCTTAGTGCCTGTGGCTATTGATCGCCTGTAAATACTATCCAGCCCACGTAATACACCGTCCCTCAACCTTATTTCCTGTAAATAAACAATAAGCCATTGTTAGTATACAAATATTAGTATGTACCTACTGATTTTACGACTGTATCACCTTACGGCCAATCTAGTAAATCATGCTTCGATTGCTTGACCTGGGGTTGAAAATTTATCGGTGGATCGTGGTTGAGTGCGTAAGCTATCTGGCGACGCCTCATTAAGACGGGAAAGGTTCTGTTGGATTTTAGTGGGTAGTACTGGCTTATCTAGCTGGGAGGTCCCACATAATCTCTTGTATGTATACATTATATAATTAAATGGATTTCCTAACATAAAAGAAGGGGTTGCAAGTTGATAGAAGCTTCATAATCATTAATTACGATAAATATCTATCTCTGGTAGACCAAATAAATGAACTATAGTTTAGGGGCTTTAGGCTGTTACGCAATACATTTTGAATATTCCCATAAAGTTAATTAAAGTATTAAGTAACCTTATCGATACTATTGACTAATGTAAAGGCGGGTAGTTGTACAGCGTTTGCCTTTACTTGGTTTATCCGCTGGATTACCATATCGATAACTTTGTCTGTATAAATGTTGAGTATATTCGTTTTTTCTTTATTGTATTTCCTAAAAAGAAAAATACAGTTTGTATATGATGTAGCCGAGTGTTGTGCTATATTAATTATAATAGAATAATAATTTTTTCTCACTCAAATTCCGAATTTTCGGCAACTACGAAATACATAAGATAGTCATTGAAGTAATCTTTAATCCATTTGTCCAAATCTACTTTTAGCCGGTCCAAAAAAACATCTGTTTTAAAAAAAGCAATATTTAGGTACGAGTTCTTTAAAGTTCATATTTTTAATATTTATACTTATACTACGGGGTATGTAAGGGGTAGTTATTACGTAAAAATAAACACACCGGCTTTATTCTATTTATAATATAAGAATAATCCTTACTAAAGCTATAACTGTTAGAAAGCTACTGCTGTCTTAGTTTCGTAAACAACAAATATAATTTATGTAGTAAAACTGTAAAGAGGAAAAACTATTTAATGACTTATGGTTATGTTTTTGATAGAAAAAGCGGAACCTTATAAGACCATATGTTTGTGTCCGTATGTATATTGCATACTTAGTTCACATCCTAAGTACTGGACAGTAAAAGTTGAAATCTAAAAAACTAAAATTAATATGCCCATTAAGAATAAGATTATTAATACATATAGAGAATCTCTAGATTAAGAATATTAATACTTACCAATGCTTCTCTTATTTAGTTTTATCGATAGCGTAGAGTTTTTATTTTGGTACTGTAATAAACAACAGTATATCTGTGATTATTACTGTATTTTCTCTTGAGTATGTTTAAGCATTGAGAACTTTTTTAAATATAATATTTTTTTACAAAAAAATTGCAACATATATTGTAGTTTAACAATTGGGATTGAGATAGACATATTTTTAATTAATTTTTGTTGGACTCTAAGCTTTTATAATATTTATTAAGTTCAAGCAGTTATCGCATAGAAGTAGTAAGTTTGTAGTGTTTTACCATCATAAGAATATCGTCTATTTCTATTTCTGAAAGCACCATTTCTATGTTCAATTTATGTCTTAATAGCCTGTAGCGACCTTTCATGTTGTAGGTTACATTTTTTAGCAGTAGTCTAGAAGAAGAATTAACGGTATAGGGATATCTTAACTATGTATGTTTTGTTGTAAAATTTGTATATCATACACAATGAATGAATGAATTGTAAGCAAAATGTTTGTTACAGCTGAGTTCAAACTAGGGTATCTAGTTCTATCCCCAATGTGCGTTCACTTTGTCATGATGGAGAGGTCATTGGCAGCCTCTTAGACGGGCGCGAAGTTAAGAAACGCACTGGGAGGCGGCACACCACGGTGGGCGACGTGCCGTGTTGGTTGCTCCTGTTACTTCTCTGATAGCAGACTGGACTGTTGGAGCAACCCCATGGTTGTTGTGGTCTGGTTTGGTAAACTTGTCGTCGGGGCGTCGTGGTTAAGTGCGTAAGTGATCCTGCGACGCCCTATTAAGATGGGGGAGGTTCCATTGGGTTTTAATGGGTAGTACTGGCTTCTTTTAAGCCGGTGAGTCCCACATAACTATCTGTATATATGCAGGTGGTATGCCTTAATGCATTTCCAAACGTTGGTATCTAATTTATATTCTTTACATTTAATAAAATTCTAACTGAGTCGCATCTGTACATTAAATATTTTTTGTAAAATTTTATTGCAATAGTCATTATTATCGATACAGAGGCCGAATCCATAGTTTTTAGAATTTTTGTCTGTGTGTCTGTGACAGCATCACGAGAAAACTACTGGACAGATTTTGTATATTGCTAATACTAACTTGGTACACGGACAGCTGGTTATCCGGGTCTACATATAGGTTACTTTTTACTGCGGGAAAATATCTCTTCTCTGAGAAATCTATACTAAACCTTAAAACGTAAGTAGGGACAAACCCGTGCGGAGCGGAGTGAGTTGCTAGTATGTATTAAAATTACTTTTTGTATAAAAAGGTAAGCAACGAAGATGATTTCTTGATATTTATATGGGAGTTTTAGGCTTAACTCATTAAAAAAATAAATATAAACATCGATTGGCGAAGATAACGCGTAACTTACACATAAGAACGCGTAACAGTTTTTTGAAGTTATGCTGAAGTGGTAGTATTTTTGATTGTGAGGATATTCTTAAGTAATTATTGAAAATACTTGCTCGATTTGTCCGAAAGTGGGTTCATATGATAGATGTCCAGGTTGAGTACTTGTGGATGTGAAATCATAGGACCCAAAAAGATGAAGATCATTGAGTTGAATTCGTGTTTCTATTTGTAATTTTGCAAGGTCGTTTTTAATATCTCTTATTCGAAATATAGTGTTGTTACGAAGCTTCATTCTATGAAAAAATCTGGAAATAAAAGGTGTTTATGCGCCCTTCTATATTATATCTAATGGCCGTTTTTATTATGGCTTACTATTACTCTATCCAAATTTTTCATTAAATCTTAAAATACTAGTAAGTAAGTACTATCTACTAGTAAGTAAAGCGAGTAGGGCTTGAGGCCTGACTAATTTCGTCTATGGCAACCAATCTCCCTAAGACGAGCAAACTGCGCAGGAGACATTATAGTGCTCAAGTGATGTGCATGAATAGAAGTGAACTCTGTCACTTTTACTCTTAAAGCACTTCGGTGGAATGATGCCAGTGTATCCAACATCTTCCCAACCATATAACTATACTTGGTTCGACCGATGACTCGGACCCAAGGCATTTGGATCTGCAACCGTGCATGCTGGCCACTAGTGACTAGACTAATAAGTAGCCAGACCTTCATAAATAAATAGGCTGTAAAATGAACAAGAATTTCTCAATTTATAAAAGCAAACATGCTCTTGATCTTTATAGTAAATTACAAGGTACTACAATTACTTTTTATTTTAAATTTATGCGTAATATTCTGAATGATACTTTGGTACTTTAGAATATTTACTGTTTAATTTTGTACCCATATTTTAACGTTAAATGTGCCAAGATGTACAAAGATGTGGCTAATATTAATAAGCTACTTACAAGATTGAATCTGGTAATTTCATCATGCAATATCCACCAAGATTTATACCAGCGGGGATCAAGTTTGGGTTTCCTTCGGCTGCATGGAGGGCGCGCTCGGCTATACCGCGGGTTTTTAAAAATATCTGTATAAAACGAAATAATAATAATATCAGTTGTAGGTACTTCGTATCTATAAAGAGTTAATAGAATCCACGATTTTAGCGCTATTTATTGTTATCAAAAATTGAGAAGCCTGTCTTATATGGATGTTCATAGAGCTTTATACCACATCTATATTTTGTTATATTTAAGTGACTTCTATCGATTGGTTATTCACGAGTATAACTTTATATGAGTAATACTTACCTATTTATTATTTTGTAATATAATATTTTATTACAAAAATGACATTTTATATCAATAAACCCTAAACGAAATCTGCTATAACCGTGAAACATAGAATTTTATTACGCCAAATTTGCAATTTCAACGGACGGTATAATTTAATTTTACGATCGTCGTAAGTCGTGTCTCGCCAAAAGTACCAAATGATAGCGAATAAGCTTACCACCAACATTTCTTTATCAAGTTTTCTACCTCCGCTTGTATCTTGAAAATCTTTTCTTACTTGTGCATAGCGTTCTGAAATAACAACATCAGCAATATCTTATATTTGAAATAATAATGAAATACATATATATATATATATATATATATATATATTATTGAAACAAAGTGCCTAATATTATAAAAGATATTTTTACAATTCTTACCATCTAATTCATCCATAACTTCAAAGTGTTGTTTTGCATCAAAATTGATCCAGCAATCCTTTTTGCTGTAAACTAAAGTATTAGGAAGTAATAAAACAATTAAGCAATATATTATGTACATTATTTTGTTACAAAATATTTCAATTGTTGTATTCGAAAGAAATAACATTAATCTTAAAAAGTACTCAGTTCATTTTTAATTTAATATAAATTCAATCAATCTCTTTTATACGCCGTATAATTTCACATATCACTACAATGTAGGAATTTGTATTGTAATTATTTTTTTATTGCTATACTTTTATATAACTTGACTTCAAACAACTTTTATAGGTTGCGTTGCTTAAAAAAATGTTTAAAATATTTATTTACGTGCTATTTGTAGGGGCTTTAAGCGTTTACTCGGCTTCAGTTGAAGACAAAATACAAAAATATTTTGAAAGTGGTAAGACTCTCCCGTAAAAATAATATAATTAATGAGAGCGTACGAAACAATAAAGTTATCTTGAACAATTTACGATAATCGTTTTTTTTTATTAAACATCTTTAATAGAATGAAACTATTACTATTACATTATTTCAGATGTATTTAAGGCTTTCCAAAAGCATTGGCAAGCACATCGAAGATCTTTTGAACATGCGATACAAATGGTACGAATGCTTATACATAATTATGGTAGATATATCTGATCGTTTTCTTTTAATACCAAAGTAGTCAATCAGCCTGATGATCATCACCACGTTCGTGATTGTAGTGTATGATTGTAATCCATTATCATCAGAGGGCGTGAAGGGAAAACAAGGACAAGGCAAGGGTAGGATGGTGGTAGAAAGGGTGGAGGGTAGAGAAATCGGATGTTGTTAGAGGGTTTTGTTAGGCCCTTCTGCTCTCACTCATCAGCGGATGCTGCTCCGTTTTATTGATGTTCTCTATACGACGATATTGCTTCCCCGACTCGTTTTTGTGCTAAAACACCATTACAGCTTAGTGTCTACATTGTAATTAATACACTTAATCATTATTATGTTTAGGCCTTGAAAGAAGGCTATGGGTATAGAGGAATGAATGTATACGTAAGGCGGGCGGCCAATTCCCTACAAATAACTAATGGATTTTATCTCGCTGATAATGTAATTGAACTGTAAGCAATGTTATCTTTTTTAAAGTAGACAATAATGTAGAGCTTTAATAAGTTATATAATTAATAATTATATATCATCTATATATGTTTATACTTTTAATATGCTATTTGTTTTTCGTTTTGGTTTGACGGCCGTCGATATGCATTTGGTGGAAAAAACCCACGAAAAGGCTCAGCAAAAGGAAAGGAACCAATAAAATGAGGGTTAATTTTTAGCAATATTCTGTAAAACATAATATGTAAATATCAACCATGCATAGCCTTAGTAATAGTAGGTTTCTAAAGGTTATGTACTTTTGTTACCTGCTATCTTTAAAAAGCTAACAATTTTAAGTAAGCGAATACGCATACAATATTATCTAAGTACATGTTGGATCAAAATGTCCAAATCTGAAATCATGTTTTTATTCAATTCATAACGCGCTCTTTGCGTTTCGTAGGCTCTTGCTGGTCTATATAATATATAATTTTAAAATTAAAAAAACCTCCGTCCATCTTGGATCGATTTACATCAAACATAGCTAAGAACACTCCCGACTAATTCACCTTTCAAACAAAAAAAATAATCAAAATCCATCCATCCTTTCGGGAGCTACGATGCCACAAACAAATATAAATACCCCGTCGTTTTTGCGTCGGGGGCTGAAAATAGTAAAAATGATTACCCCTAACATGAATCAAGCAATTTTTTCGCTGCAGTAAGATATTTCATTTCAGGCTATTATTAGATACCACTTTAACGAGCTTACCTCATATGACCATGCCTGAAGTGACATTTGCCCTAGCGTCCAATGCTTTGAAATTAGAAGCAGGTCTCAGTAAGATGATATTGGAGACGAGGTATATATTGTTCAGGAATCAGTCCGACATTATTTACTCAAAAGCAGATCAAGATCCATTTAAAAGTTCACCCTTTAGCTATCAACAAGTACAAAATAAAGGCCAGTTAGCGTAAGTATACAATAAAATGGTACAAGAAATAAATGTAAAATAAGTACATACATATGAATATAGAACTTCCTCTTTTTTTGAAGTCGGTTAAAATCGCAGACAATGTAGTATATAAATTAAAATAAATGTTCGATTGTGCGAAACCGCAAATGTACAAAAGTTATTTACGATTGCTTCGAAATTTTGTTATACATAGGTACATAATATGTAAGCAGTTTCACATGGAGAAGGTTTTTATGCATTTTGCTGCACTTCGCCATTAGATGACTTTGCAGCGCATAAACTTTTGAATTTTGGTTAATCACTTAGTATTTGAGTATGATAAGATTTTCGTGCCGTTTTATAAAATATTAATATGTTATTAAGGATGATTAATAACCAATATTTTCTTAAATTTGCGCTTTAAATGAGAAGAAATATATATAATACACACCCCGAGAATTAATCGTAATAGCCAAAAATAAAATTAATTTTAAGTTACTTGTAAAGTCAAAAAATAGTAAGTGTTCATATAAATTCAATCAATTTGGATTTCTTTTTAATTTGGGATACAACGTCTGTGAATACGAATCCAATTGTTTTTTTTTTCCGAATTATTTGCAAGTACAATATATTTTAATTTTTGTTATACGTTTTAATATGATACTCAGAGTTTTTTAAAACCTGTTATTAAATCAGCGATATACAAACATTGCCCTAATTTTATTCCAAATGTTTTTTATTTTAAACTTCTTCAAACCGACCTATTCGTTAAGTTATGATGTATATTCACCATTAAATATATCTTCTAAATTATTACAACGTTTGAATTCTTAAGAAAGATATAAATAATGTATTTGATTATTATATTTTAGCATCGTAGCTGAAGGTTGTGTGCTAGTTGGCTACGCTTTAGTGAAGTTGGGTGGACATTCGGTAAACTTGGGGCATGATACATTTCGGGTTAAAGGTTGCAAATTTAGTGTAGAGGTAAAAGTTAGATTTATGTCCAACTTATTTAAAGAGTAAAGTATGAAATTTTTTTTAATTTATTTTAAAAAGTGGCTTTTTATTACTTTTTCTGTCGTGAGACGACACGGTCACGTTCATTTTTTAATGGAACATGGTATATAGTACTTACATGTCGTAGTCTAGTGTAAGTAACGATGATGCAGTACGTGCGTGCGTGGGCTGGTTATCATTCACGTCTTTGATTTACTTACCAATCGCCATGATTATACACCGTTACAAATTATAAACCTCATGTATACATTTTTTTTACTAGCCGTTCTATAAATAGGTTTAATAACCATGAATGTACTATGTAGAGTATTATACAGATCTACATCGGTGTAAGTGATCATCGTTTATCTTTGTATGAACAGAGTGTTTGCTTAAAACCCTTTTTACAAAAAGCTCTATGAAATTTAATTGGGATTGTTTATTCTAGATAGACTGTAACTGTATAAATTGAAATTGGTCGAGTAACATTATTTTATAACTTATGTATTATTTATAGATCTCTACATACAATTTCGGAGGACCACCTGTTATAGCTCCTTATTTTTCACATGAACAAAGTAAGTTTTATTATAAAACTACGAACCTATTTCTTAATATTATTGTTTAATGTGTCATTTTATTACCTTTTTATTATAACGTTTACTTCAAGGCAAACAGTTAGAACTGTTGTTGACGAGGCCGATACGAGAAGAAATAACGGCAAAATTGCAAGCTGCATTATTTACTTATATAAATACATCTCTCATATTTGGAGATTATTTGTCGAAATTCCGGTAAGTTATGGTTTTATTGAAATGTAAGTAAAATTGAGAAAAAAATACATAATATATTATATGTTTTAAGTCTTTTTACTATCTATACTATTAAGTACGTATAGTCAAGTCAAGTACGTACAGCAACGCCTTTTTTCGCCAATTTCCCACGTGACATTATATCCTACAAGGTGATTGTCATGAAATATGACCTACTTACTTCATCATTAAATTGTATAATGTAGCATCAACTGATAGAATATATTTATAATACTTTTACCTTTATAATTCAAAGGTCAAGGACGGCTTCTTGCCCTGTAATTAAGGTAATTTGGCCAGAAAATATTTTCCACTTGCCATTTCAATCCAACCCTCTATGACTGTTTTTATTAAAAAAAAACTTTAACTCTCAGTTTTCAAGGTCAGTCCATACCAAATTTAATCGAAACCGGTTTAACCTTTTAAGCGTAAACACAAAATGGACACTATTAAATACATATATGTATAATATGTACTGTTATTTACAGAGAATACCAAAAAAACATATACAAAGAGAGTATAAAACATTTGAATGAAATCGTCCGAGGTATTAACAATCAAACTGTTGAAATGGACAAAGTAACCGTTGACCTAGACGGAATTGCGGTATCATGGAATTTTACTGTGAGTGAAAATACATTTTTAATTTCCACTTTTATTTGAAAGATCCGGGAGCCGGTAAAACAGAGAGCCCGTCATCGCGAATGCCTGGTACTTCCGGTAATTTTCGAGCCCGCGTATTAAGATTATTTTAAAAGTAGACTTTGTAATAATGGAAAAAAGACCCCATATGATATATTACATCTTTTAAATCACATAAATAGGTTTACTAGACATTTCCGGCCAAAAAAAGTTGGTTGTTGAAAATCATGAATTTTCTATCAAATTCACCTAATTGAAATCCGCGATGACAGTAAAATATACCATAATTATTTATATTAAGCTAATTAAATCCATAGCTTACCTAAATAATTGATGTCGCTTTAAACTTCAGATTTTCATAGAAATTTTACAAATCAGCGCCTCGGGTCCGGGGAGTTCGTAACCTCGAAAAATATATACATATGTATGTTATATGTATTCCGAGAGTTGGTAGCCCTGAAACCCCCGTTTTTCCATGTTTCAAGTTCCCGGACCATATTATTTTTTAAAAGCCAATGAATTTGATATTAGCACATCTATTGCATAAAATAAAAAAATCTTTATATTAAGGCACGTGAAAAATATTTGAAAATTATTATTTAGGAACTTAAATTGTCTAATAATATCTCTTATATAATCTCTCAATAATAATAATCTTTTGTATATAAAGTCTTGTGTAAATTCAGTTTATTTCATGTTATAAAATGTTTAACATATTTATTTACACAGTGCCAAAATGAAGGATTTTGCTGGACTAAAATGTTGATTTCAAATGTTACATTACATGGCTTAGATACGTTATATTCATCGCATACTGGTGGGCCTTTCAAACTGCAAGGTGCAAAAATAGCTGAATCTTTTAGGTTTAATTCAATGACGGTAAGTGAAAGTAAAAGGATTTCTAAATGTTCATATACGTATACATATATTAATGTCCTTTTATCAATTTCGGTTACGGAGGACAATCTTAATATGCGCGGAAACAAGTGTACGAAGTGCGAATATTTCGTGATAGAAACACCTAATAACTATGAGTATTTTGACTTGACCTAGGATCTACCGATCTACAGCAGTACATGCTAGCTTCTATAAAAATATAAATATTATTATGCCTTTATCAAAATAATCTGTATATTGTTCACAATTTTGCGAAATTCTTATATTATTAAAAATTAACGGTTATTTTTTCTATATATAACAACATTTAGTAAAAATATTAGTAGTTTTCGGTGGTCGTTGTATTATTATCTTATTAGGGGATGATTTTTAGTGTGACTAATTAAAATTTCATTCTTTTTCCCGCTCCTGTTACTGGTCTAATTTTAATAATGAAATCAATTTAATATTAAAGCGTTGTCCCGATATAGACGGAAGTGAAGAAGTAACTTGACTTGATGCTACCATATACAAAATATAAATTATTAAGTAATGAATGTTTTTATGTTCATTAGCTATATAGTCAAAATTCATTTATGAATAATATTGTCGAAGTCTGATAAAAATATTTAAATTAAGCTCCAAATTCACTTGAAATTCTAATAAAATAGACGAGTTTCAAAGAAGTTAATTTTATTTTCAAATGAAATATACAAACGATAAACAGGTACGTGGGAGCATTTGTTATGAAAATAATACTTTAAAGGGAGATCATGAATTCGTCGCTGAAATACGGGACTTCACGGTGAATATCGAGATGGAGTTGAACAAAACAGAAGTGATCGTTGATGTTATGAGTTGGCGGTAAGTTTTTGGAATTTTACAATAAAATTACTTAAATTTCTATGTAAATAGCAGCAATTATGAAAAGCAGTTTCGAAAAATTATATTATTTAGATATCGTCAGGTTGTAAGGGGAGCTCACTGAGAGAATGTTTGCTTTGGAATCAAATTGAAGCGAGTACAAACCCCAAAGCTCTGAATTTTTTTACCTCGGTCTTAAAATTGTTATTTGCTAATCCGGTGAAGGAAAAATCGTGAGAATTTCTGCATGACTGAGACCAATGCAGATTTTGAAAGACCTGTTAAGTCTGACAACCGACAAACCAGGACCAATATCTTTAACTTAGAGGGCATGTTTTATATAATATTAATTATTTTTTATATAATATTATTTTAATGTTGTCACTGACGTATTCGCTTTACTATCGTTTCTACTCATATATTTTAAAGGACTATTATAATAAATCTAAAGAAACAACGATTATCTGTCTTGTACCGTGATTGTTATAATATAGCAATCAAATTTTTTAAATAGGTCATTATAATGTATTTAAATATTACAGAATTTTAGAATTGTCCGTAATTGAATTGAATCATTTATTTAAAAATCGTAAATCCGCACATTCCTTTATACACGGATATTTGATACACACGATACCTGGCGTACTGAAAGATCATATTTATAATTTCTTCATAGAAGCATTAAAGAAAATTGACAATAGAAAAGCACTTAAGAAATCGGATAATATGGATAAAACTTGTCGTCACTAATATATAAAATAAACTATCTAAAAGAAACATTTTATTTTTCCCCAAACCTATATCATTTTTAACGAATTGAGATTTAAATGAATAATGAATAGCTTAAATTAACAGATTTTGTGTTGTGAAATAACCAAATGCCTTACCCTTAAAATTCTCTCGTATTCATCTCTTTGTCCGCATGTCACGGCCAGTCTAGTCTTCTCTTCTATTGAGACTAGCTGAAGTCTGGAAGGTTGTTTTTTTTTAAATATGTGGCGCACTTAGTATTTATCATTTTGAGATTGTAATCAAATTATAAAAAAAATGAGATACATTGATGTATTACTTGTAACTAAGAGGCAAAAAAGGCATTGAGTGTACACGTGCGTGTCGGATATCTTAAGTTAGGTCGTAGTTGTCAAAAGTTGGTGACTTACGCGTTTCTTAATCTTTAAGCAGACTCTATTCAAGTGTAATGTGGAAAATCATTGTAGGTATATTATAAAAAATATTTAGATAATAATTAATGAAACGTAAAAAATACTCTCAAAATTTGTTTACAATTGATAAATTTAGTAGTTTTTGAGATATGTTTACAGCTACATCTTTTTACACGCTTTAGATTAACGACCGATTATTTTTGTTGTTTTGCGTATGATATGTAATTCAGCAAAAATTAACATAAAATATATGTACGTATAACATACATACATATATATCTATACATATTATAAAATTGTAACTAAGCCGAATCTGTACATTAAATATTTTGTGGAAAATCTTATTGAAACAAACATTATTATCAATAAATAGCCCGAATCTATCGTTTTTAGAATTTTTGTCTGTCTGTTTGTTACCACATCACAGAAAAACCACTAGGTGATTTTGATGAAATTTGGTTTGGTGATCGCTGGTTATCCGGGTCAACATATAGGATACTTTTTACCACGGGAAAATGTCTCATTTCTGAGAAAAAATACAAAAACTGCAATGTAACAGTATACTAATATGTAAAACCTAAGTCTTTGGTTTTTGGGCAATGCTAGTAAAACATAAAGAACATCATGAATCAATATACAACTGTCATTTGTGGTAAAAAATATCATTAAAAAGATGAATTATTATTTATTTGGAAAGACCTCATCTAATATTTCATCTTGCCACATCCTAAGCAAATATGTCATCTAAGAAAGGACTCGATACTAGTACATGCTAATATTTAGTTGCCATCTCGATCACGCTTATACTTAAGAAGAAGGAGTCTACAGTAGTGTAGTTAACAACATGAAACCAATTATAGGTAAATATATTTTATTATAATAAAGATGTATTAAATGTAACGGTGAAGGAAAACATCGTAAGGAAACCTGCATGTCTACGAGAACCTAACCAACCTAGCCAAAGGGCGGATTGACGGACTTCACATGTCTTTCGAAAGCTTCACTCGGTTTCCCAAGCGAGCTCGTTACCACTGTTCTACCACTGCATTTAAAAGGGCTGAATTAGAGTTGTTTAAAAAGTTTAAAGGCTGAACATATTAAATACATCTATACATACATATAATAAAAATGTAACTGGTCGCTGTCTGCAATAATTATGTTTATTTCAATAAGATTTTCCAAAAAATATTTAATGTACAGATTTGGCTTAGTTACAATTTTATTATAATATGTATAGATAAATGAAGTAAGATGTTCCAAAGAACTAAGACATATTTTAATGGAATAATATATTTTTTATTTCATATGCTTCCGTAAGCAATGTTGTCTTCATTTACATCTGCTATGTACTCTGCAACACTGCGCGGCATACTCATCCAGGAGTGACTCGTTTTCATAATATAAGTACTGCAATGTAAAATTATTATATTTTGATTACAATCGTAAATGTAAATTTTATTTTTTATAACGTTTTTAAATGAAGGTACTGTATAAGTATGCTTAGAGAAGTAACAAAATACGCATTATGTTTAATTGTATTGTAATTTTGTTCGTTACGGGTCGGATGAAGTGTCAAACCAAATCATACAGATTAAGCTTAGTAATGGATCTTTTGTCCATTAAAAATTATTCTTTACTTTCTATCCGTAGGTACGTATTAAACCGGAAAAACAAATAATTATCGTGAGAGTACTTGAGGTAATTGATTTTTGCGATAAAAAGTGGCTAATGCCCTTCTCCAAGGTCCCATCTATCTCTACATCAAAATCCAATAAAATTCCTTCAGCGGCTTAGGGGTGAAAACGTAAGGGACAGACAGACAGAGTTACTTTCAAATATATAATATTAGTTTGGATAACGAATATTTATGTCCTTAACTTGAGAAATGATTTGTTCTAAATACAAACTTTCAAGCCCTATTTCAGCTCTTTCAAGTTTCATTTTTGCGACAAAAAGTAGGACAGCGGTTTAGGTATGAAAACGTAACAGACATACAGATGAACAGAGTTTCTTTTGCGCTTATAATATCAATATGGATTCATTACGATTAATCATTACTAGTGACATACTCTCCCTCGGGTGCGTATTTAGGTGCCTTTTTGGCTTTATAGTTATACGTAATTTTAGTCCAGCCGGCAGTCCACACGCACGCAAACACGCACTCACGCACGCACATACGTGTTGTGTATACATATGTACAAAAAAAAATAATCTTTAATAATAGCAGTAGGTATATAGTGATTAAGAACTAATCATGTATTATTTGTAATTGAATCAATTGGTACCTTTCATGATCATCTTCACCTTCAAAAAGTATTCTTATATCTGGAGATATAGTTTCTGATTTGCCAATTTTTGTATTTAGGATAGAATTTACTTTGTGAATTGGTTTATTTTCTTGGTAATATTTTATATTGTTATCGAAGATTTTACGGCTGTACTCTTCATTTCTATCAAAATCATGTTTTGTTTTCGATTTAAATTCCTGGATGGGTTCAAACATTCTCATTATGATGTTCGATGAACCACTTTGTTTTGTTATTGTAAAAAACAACAATTTTGGTGATGTACTCTTAACAATGTTGTGTGTAGGCGTTACAAAATGCATTTTAGCTGTCTGTAATATATTTTTTATAATTATTATTAGGTACTTATTTTAATGAGTTGGTTTTCAAATTAATTTTTTTAATAATATTTTAAAAAAATATATGAACGCGCGGACTACATTACTTTTGCCATGTTTTATGTTCTATTTATGGTATTTATTAGATACGATAAATGATTCTTCTATGTTCAAAAGAACGATAATATATATTTTTTAATTTATTAATTATTCCTAGTAAGGCTAGTTCACTCGGGACATATCTGCTGATTGAGTGTTATGTAACTAAGTTGAACAACGTCTGGGTACCTCAATAGAGAAAGAAAGTTATAAGTTATTTCAATTTTGCAAAGACGTCGCGAGTCGTGCAAAGAAAGTTGGTTTCATAAGTTGTATGAACTGTTTATTACCTGAGGTAGTTTGACTTGTTCGTAATCAACCAAGTTTCTCCGACTATCTGAATATTTTGTAACTTTTTCAGCATATTTTCGCGTGTCATGGTTCTTTTGCAATGTGTCTGAGAGACCTGGATTATGGATGGTTGGTACTTCTTGTTGATAATCTTCAACTACATTTAGAATTTTTTTTAAGTTTATGTAAAACTTTGGCTCGTTTGTCTTAACTATTATTAAAAGTAGCCTATATCACTATCATCAAGATACGCGGCAGCGTGTCCAGCCAAGTTCAAGCCAAATGAACTGGCGACGCAGAAGCCGTATGTTATATTTATATTTTCTAGCTCTCAGAGAAAACCCCGGTAACATTGGTTGAGCTGTTCCGGAGATACTTCATACAAGATAGACATACAAACATATTTTTGATTAATGTTTTGGCTTTAATGTCGTACATATAATCATATCATGAGGACAATGTGGGGTAAATATTTTGTTTTTACTGAAATATATTTTAATTTCATTTATAAGTATAGGTCTTTAATATAAATATTTATGTACATTTCGAAATTTATTTATAACTTGCCTTTGTACAAAACCACGTAACAAATTATATTGTTTCAGTATGATCGAGCATTAGGTAATTCAAAACAGACTGAGTGACGTGTTAACATAGGTAATATATGTTTCATACATGACATTGTTGTAACTAAATATTTGTTAAATTCTGTCTCTTACAGACACATTTAAATAAATGACACTTCATTTGGTACAATGGTTCTTATAAATGATATTGTTGTGTTTAATTATAATTATAAGCTTTATACACATAATAAATGTTATTAAATTGTGTGTAAAGGTTATAATATTATAAAGTTGTCATTAGACTATATAATTTGTTAATTGTGAAACGAGGTATTTACCATCTTTTTAACCGACTTCCAAAAAGGAGGTTTTAAATTCGTCGGAATCTGTTTGTCACTTTATTTATTCATTTTAGAGTAAGGTTTGAGTACGTATAGATAGATACATTTAGTTTTCTGTTAATAATTTCTTATTGACTTATTTATTTCGGCACAACCCTTAGTGTACTAATCGAATTTATCGGTTCTTCAAATATTTACCAATAGTTTTTGCAATTTTGTATAATTACTGAATATTTTTTATTACTTTTAATAATAATTACCATTTTCATCATCCCCCATCCTCCTTTTAGGGTACAATAAATCGGGATTGTCGTAGAACTGCCCTCGACGCATGTACATATTTACATCAGATCCTATATTACAAGTAAATAACATAACATTTAGATTCAGTATGTATATTGTATATATTAATTTCATTTGCTACTACCTACTACATACTATACAAATATATGAAGAAAATAATAATCGAATACTTATACCATTTTGGTGTGTCGTTGTGGCAAAATGAGAATTAATTGCAATATTATACAAATAATTACACAGAAATTTATTATGCTACGTAATATTTTAAACGTCAAAAGTTTCACTCGCTGGTGTAGGAATATTTTTTTACGTTCATGTTTATTTTATTCTTTTCTACTGAAACTATTGCGCATCTATACTCTATACAGATAAATAAAATTGTAAGTGTATGTTGGTAATGTCAAAATAACAGCTTTTTACTAAATGCATGTTATGGAATTATATACGCTATTTATAAGAAAAACACAATTTTTAAATTTTTTGTCTGTCTGTCTCTTTGTTCCGGCTAATCTCCGAAACGGCTGGCCCGATTTTGACGGGACTTCCACTAAAAGGTAGTTGATGTTAAAGAGATTAACTTAGGTTACTCTTATTTCAGTAAAAGAATTAGAGTTCCGCCAAAAAAAATGAAAATGTAACTAGGGACGAACCCGAGCGAAGCGAGGGTGAGTCGTTAGTAACTACATAAATATCTACTAAAATACATAGAGATATAACATACTATGAGAAAATTATTTATTACATAAGTAATATATTATATCTTACATATAATTTATTATCTGTTACATAAGTACGTTATATGACAGGGTCGCTTGTTCAACAAAACTATGAGTAGTTTAAGATTTAGCTTGTTATGTTTGTAGATTTTATCTTTATATAACAAATAATATTATATAAGAAATATTATGCATTATATAACACAATAAGATTTTTTTACAATATTGTACAATTTAAATCAAAATTGAATGTCATGGAGTGGATGAAAATCTTACTAGTTAGAGTGACAAATTCGGCCAAAGAGTAGTTATATCCGTAGGCGACACCCGCGATCGTAGCAACAGCGAAGCCAAAGCAAATTGCAAATGCCATCCAACACGACAAACAGAATGTTAGCGTCCTGTTAGAACAAAGCGTTTTTGTATAAATAAAATTTTACTTACATTAAATGTTACTTACTTGTTTTTGGATTGTGTTTGAAATCCCTTTGTCAGGATCACATTTGGGCAGTTTTTATTATTTCTATTACAGTCCAAAATAAAGCGACGGATGGCCGAATAGTCAGATAGAATAGGGATTTAATAGGTTCCATTTAGGGCGAAAAATTCCTTATAAAAGTTTTGCGGTAGATACTAAGGGATATGATTTGGCAGTGTTACAGGTAAACAGATAAAACACAAAAAAAATGTTCAATTAAGCTTGTATTACATTCGGAACGTTCTTAAATACATCTTTCTAGAAATATATTATCTTTAATTACAAATTTATTATCTTTTTTGTATATCACATTATTTTACACTAGCGACTCACCCTCGCTTCGCTCGGATTTGTCCTTAGGTACGTTTAAGCGGTTAGTATGAAATACAAATCTTTGAAGTTTTCGGCTTTTCTGTACTATAATATGCATGTAATATCAAGGTTTCTCTTGAATCACTCTATCTATTACTGAAAACTGCATTAAAATCCGTTGAGTAGTTTAAAAGATCTAAGCGAACAGACAGCGGAAGCGACTTAATTTTATACTATGTAAAGACTAGGTACGTTTTAATGGTTAGTATGGAATAGATAGTAGTACGATGGCTTAGCCTGCCTCAATAAACGGGCTATTTGATGCAAAAATAATTTTCCAAATCAGATTAGTAGTTCCTGAGATTAGCGCGTTTTTTTATACTATTCAGAATTAGTGCTTGACTACGTTCCACCTGATGGTAAGTGGTACTAATTTAGTAGCCACCTATTCATTCTTGCCTTGAAGACACCCATATTATAATCGGACGGAAACACCGACGCAGGCAGGTTGTTCCAATCCTTAGCCGTACGTATAATAAATGACGTAGCGAAACGCTTCGTGCGGACGGGTGGAATGTCCACGACATAAGGATGGAGACCAGCCGTTCGTCGGGTTGTCCGATGATGGAAAGGGGATGGGGGAATTAATTCAAGTAGTTCCTGCGCACACTCTCCGAAATATAACCTATAGAATACACAAAGGCTGGCAACCCTACGTCGGTGATCGAAGCTTTGTAAGTTAGCTTTTACCAGCGTAGGGTCACCTATAAGCCTTTGATCACGCCTCTCAATCGAGTCCAAGACTGACAGATGGCATTTCGCAGCACCAGCCCATATGTGGCTACAGTATTCCACACACGACCGGACTTGCGCTTTATATAAAACAAGAAGCTGTCCCGGCGTGAAATACTGTCGGACCTTTGCAAAGATGCCAACTTTCCTCGCAGCGACATTAGCCTTAGACTCGATGAACCGCCCGTAGTTCATGTTGGGGCTAATGTCCATCCCTAACAACTGCAGACGGTCTGTGTATTCCAAAGGCACATTCCGGAAAGTAGGAGTCAAGGTGAAAGGATTCCTTTTAGTGGTGAACAGGCACGTGTTTTGGTGGCATTGAAACTCACAAGATTGACATCGTCCCAAGTGGAGACTGTCCTGAGTGTGAGATTCAACCGCTCTACCATGGCCTCTTTTTCGGACTGAATTTCATCTCTACTTGCCCGAGGATTCGGCAGGTATCTCTCTACAATAGTGCTGTCGTCTGCGTACCCATAGATACCGGGTATAAGCAGATCGTTGATATGCAGCAGTAACAAGGTTGCAGAGAGAACAGACCCATAAGGAACTCCTGAGTTGGTCTTTAAGGGTTGTGATGAACAACCATCAACCACAACTCTGAGTGATCGGTCGCTCAAGAAGTCTTTAATCCAGCCGATCAGGCCAGGAGATATGCCATAGGCTGAAAGCTTGTTTATAAGGCTAGCGTGCCAGACCCTGTCAAAGGCCTTTGAGATATCGAGGGAGACGGCAATCGCTTCCCCGCTTCGGTCAATAGTTTCGCCAAAGGTGTGATTGGCATACACTAGAAGGTCAGGCCCCAGTCGACCGATTCCGGCGAAACCCATATTGTCGATCACTGAGGAGATCGTTTTGTTCTAGGTATGCCATAAGACGAGTGTTCAATACACGCTCCATAATCTTGCAGAGTATGGAGGTGATTGAGATCGGACGATAATTGGCAGGGTCAGCACGGCTTCCTTTCTTGGGTACTGGTTGCACATTGGCAAGCTTCCAGGATTTAGGCACTATTTCAGTCTTAAGAGAAAGGCGGTACAGACGTGTCAGTATCGGAGACAACTCGGGAGCACATGTTTTAAGGACTATCGCTGGTATACCATCAGGACCACTGGTTTTATTCACATCTAGACGACCCAATACTCTCTTAACCTCGAGGTGGAAGTGGACTGATGAGAGATTTGTGTGCAATCCTCGGATATTTGTGAGGTGCACTTTTAATGAGGGGGAGCGCAAACGGCTTAAAAACATTACTCTTGTTTCGACTTTTCATATAAATTTTTTAATGGAAGAGTGAATACGATGGAGAATGGCAGTAGAACGAGGCGCTGCACGAGCGGCGGTGGTGGCGGTTATATTGATGATGTCATATCACAGAGGGCTTAGTCTGGAAACTGCGGGGACACCCGAACCCCCCCAAGGATTGCCATCGGGCCCCCTCCCCTGGTCGCCAACCAGCACGATGGAGTCACCCTGGGATTTTTCACATATGGCAGGGCAGCCTTTCATGGGTGGCTAGCCCACTAGTTGGGCCCCCAACTGTCTGTGGTCGGCCAGCGGCAAGCCGTGCTTCGGATCCCTCTAACCTCCGCGACTAAGCTCTCGACACAACAAACAACAATTCACCACCAAAACGGCTAGTGTACAACACAACTATTCAGACCCATTCTCCATACGGCTTTATCAGCCTCGACATTCCGGAACGCTCTGTTGGGCGCTTGGCGGCACGACTTCTGCTGACGGGTGGTAACCGTGCCGTTGGCCGATGTTGAGGCCTACCACCGCGACTACCATGGTGTTCGGTAGTTTGTCCCTTAGTCGCCTTTTACGACACCCACGGGAAGATATGGGGTGGCCATATTCTAATTGCCGTACCCACACAGCAATTCAAACAAACAAACAAACAAACAAACAAACTATATAATATTAGTATAGATGATAAAGTATATGTTATGTTATTAAATATGTGTTGGTACACATGTTTATCTGACCTTCAACCGAAATCAAACTTAATTCCTCTAGAGACTAAGAAAGTAGACTACGTTATATTAGATTAGATGAAAACATGATTCCCATGTTAGCATCAGTCAACTGACGTTTAGTCCCAAGCCTAACGTAATCGCTCTACATATAAGAGCTCTAAGATACATTTTGATTGAAGTATTATGAAATATTTAACACGTTCAATGAAGGATCTTTAGTGGCTAAGTAAATTATCAAACGCTTAAAATCTGTAAAAGAAATGTTAGATAGATGCCATTATTTGGATAAGCATATGCGGTCTGCGGACAAAAGTTGAGTTTTTCAATGTGAACGAAGTCTGCGTTAGTTATTTACTTTTAAGACCAGATGTTAAATTAAAGCCTTGTTGTTATATTATTTACTACTAGTTGTTATGTATTGTGGAAATTTTTGGAGGAGGCCTAAGTCTAGCAGTGGACGCGTTTCAGCTGAGACGAGTTGTTAGGTTTATTGCTTTTCAATGATTTTTGAATAATTTATAGATACGATGAAATTTTCATTGATTTCTATGTTAAATTATAGAAATCAATGAAAATTTCATCTTATTACTATATAAAAAATAAATGTAAATGTGTAATATATACAAAATATTTGCTAAGTTAATAATATTTCTAACTGTGACTTTGTTCACTTATTCCGCGTACTTTTACATGACTTTTGCTTGATATTACAACATGAAGTTATTGTTTAGATACGCTAAACTAGGCAGTATGATTCTGAAGTAATTTGATCATCATTCATCTACCAGATAAACATTTAAAAGAAAATATTTATTTTAATAAAACTAACACTGAACGACAGACAGACAATATATATAGACGACATAGATTTAACATTTAACAGAAATCATACCGTAAAGATTAAATATGGTGAAAGTTTATAGAAATTTCTTGTAGATGAAGAAATATAGGAATAAATAAATAAATATGTTGGGGCATTCACACACAGCACCATCTAGTTCCATGGTAAGCTACGAGGCTTGTGTTATGGATACAAGAAAGTTGATACACTTCACATACATAATTTTAAATACATACATATTATAAATAATATATAAATACCCATGACTGGAGTACTAACATTTATTTATTATTTAAACACTTTATTGCACACAATAATAAAAATCATACATACAAAAAAAAATCATTTAAAGAAATGTGCAATGGCGGCCTTATCACTAAAAGTGATCTCTTACAAGCAACCGCTAGAAGTAGGATACAAGTTAACATTTGTACTCATCACACAAATGAATGCCCCCAGCGGGACACGAACCCGCGACGGTTGGCACAGTAAGTAGGGATCACTGCAAACTGAGCCAAACGTGTCGTCATAAGAGAATTGAGCTTTAGTTATCAATGTCGACAGGTAATCCTAATTTACTTGTTCATAGATGGGTAAAATAATACTTATTTTACCTTTGAATTAAATCCAAAGTCCACGCAAAACAATTGCATACGTAGCACATAACCAGCTACTGTTACATAACAGTATCGATGAACATAGGGATTGTGTAAATGTAATCTCAGCTCGTTTCGATATTCTGAAAATTAAAATTATGTCATGAATGAATGATTAAATTAAATGGTCATATAGAAACAGAATGAGTTGTACTTATTTTTTTTTGATTACTGTTAATCGTATAATCGAGTGGAAATATAGATCTGCTTAATTTGAAAATAATTTCAAATATTTGAAAGTGATTTATAAAAAAAATTAAGTTCAATTAAAACCATTTGCATTGATTTGATATATTATCAAAGTATGTT